AACCACACATCCTCAATTAGTCCACTGGGAAATCAACGGAGACACTTGTCCTGAAGACTTCCTTGAAACCAATCTTTGCAGTCTTTTTTCTGCCATTGACCAGCTGGACATTCGCTCACCCGACACACGAGTAGATCAGCAACTCAGGTCATCTTTCTCTCCACATGAGATGGGCCACCAGATGTGCCACCCCAAGTTTCGCCAACTGAAAATCTTCCAAAGCCCACCCCTACACTAGGTCGTCTATTTCTGGCTGATGCCAGCACATTGTACAGATTCAACATAGAACAAACCTAATGCTTTTTCCTCTTCTGTCAACTGTCATAGGGAGCTTCCTGTGAGACCGCAGGTGTGCACCTACCTGTGCTGCTGAGTCTGGTCAGGCAGTTTTGTATATGCTGTTTCTAGTTTCACTAGAATGCTGCTGTTCACAGTCTAGTTTTACGATTTCTTGTACAGGCCACCTCCTTCCACAGCAGACCTTGTACTTCTCTGGGCTGTACGGGGATCAAACTCTTGGTTTGGGTGCAGAAGCAGTGAGGGTAGTTTCCATGGTTTTGAGCATCAGCACCTCTTTGTGAGGTGCCTGTCCCAGGTGCAATCATGAAAGGTTTCTATTTAGGCTTCCTTATCACTTTTTTCCAATACCAATTAGCAAAAATGGTAAATTCAGTCTCAGCTGGTAGAGACAGCAGTACATCCTCACTGTTTTCTCAGGGTCTTTGTGTAGACACACTATTTTGATACACTATGTTAGTGAGATTGTAGTAATCGGTCCTAGTGAGCAGGAAGTGGTCAGTACCCTAGATGCTTCAGTAAGACATATGCTAGATGGTGGGAGGGAAACCCCATGAAAAATTGGGCCTGCACGTTGACAGCTGCTAGGGGTTGAGCAGTCCATGGGCCACCACTGTATCTCCTCTCAAGTAAGAGGCAAGTGGCTGTACCTTGCACTGCCTACAACTGAGAAAAGCTCAAGGCTTGGCTTGTTTGTATTTTGAATACAGTGTAAATCACATTTGGCCGTGCTGCTCCAGGCTATTTACCGAGGAACCCACGACCCGCAGGCTGTTAGTCTCAAGTGGGGCCTGGACAACAAAAGAACTGTGGCTTTGACGCACACTGCTCTGCTACTTAGGCTTTATGACCTGGAAGCATCTTTACAATTAAGGATGCCGCAATATAAAGTCGCACTAGGGCAAACCTCAGGGTGGTAAAGCAGAGCTTCGCCTGCCTCTGCTGCTAATCCAGTCTCCACCTGAGAAACGTCTGACTTGCTGCTGGGTCCAGCAGAGGGCAGATTCCTGCCTGTGGGACACGCTGTGGTTTGAACGTGTCCTTCAAATTTCATGTGTCGGAAACTTCATCCCCAGCGTGGTAGGATCGAGGGGTGGGGTCTTTAAGAGGTGACTGGGTCATGAGGGCTCTGCATGGATTCGAAGATTAATGGATGAGATTATCGCGGGAGTGAAACTGGTGGCTTTGTGAGAAGGAGACCTGAGCTGGCACGTCAGCACACTCAGCACCGCCGTGGGATGCCCTGCGCCACCTCAGGACTCTGCAGTCCCCACCTGCAAGAAGGCCCTCACCGGAGGAGGCCCCTTGACCTTGGACTTCTCAGCCTCCACAACTGTAAAAAAAAAAAAAAATTCTTTATAAATTACCCAGTTTCAGGTATTCTGTTACAAGCAACAGAAAACGAACTAAAACAAGGTACCAGTTAGTATGTGACTCAAACTGCCCGTCATGCACTGGGTGCTGCCTGATCACCAAGCCCTCGCGCTGGGCAGGCGCGGAGCAGCCCGTCGTCCATGGAAGTGCAGCCTGCGTGCGGCGGAAGCAATGTGCTTGGTCTTTGCCTCTGGCTCCTGGCACAGAGTTCCTAAAACCCTTGGAATTTCCCACATGGTGTCTTTTGTTATGAGCCCTTTCTGACCATACCCGAGTTTATGCCAATGAGGCGACTCACGTGGGCCCCCTCGGAATGGGGGCTGCTCGCCAGAGGAACCAGCCTCCTGCCTGAAGGGTCAGGGCTCTTCCCTCACCCCAAAGCTCTGGGGAGGGAGGGCTGCAGATGAAGCGCAGCCGTGACTGCGCAGTAAAGCCGTGCTAGAAGCTCCCGCACAGCGAGCACTGGGGATCGTCCGGGTTGGTGCACACGGGGGTGCTGGGAGGGTGGCACCTGAGGGTGCACAGCGGCGCTGCGCCCACCACCCCACACCTGCGCTACACTTCTCTTCCGTTTGCTGTTCCTGAGTCGTGTCCTTTACAGTAAACTGATAATCCCACATAAGCACTTTCCTGACTCATTCAAGCAGATTATCAAACCTGAGGCGGGGGTTGTGGGAACCCCCCCAGATTTGTAGTTGGCCGGCCAGGACTGTGGGACTGAGTCCTTCACCTGTAGGGTCTGTGCTAACCCCAGGTAGTGTCAGAATTGAAGGGCCTTGTCCTCGTCAGGCCTGCGCTAGCTCTGGGCAGTTTCAGCGCGGGGTCAAGGGTGCCCAGCTGGTGTCGGAGTGGCTGGAAGCACAAACCGGGAGGCCAGGCTCACGGAAGGGCAGAAGGGCGGGACGGGCACTTTTCTCCCTCTCACTCCGACCGGGGCAGCACCTCTGGGGGCGAATGCGTCTTCTCTGTGAGTGCAGCTCCTGTTGAGAGACCCGGGCCCCGAGTTCCTGTAACGTCGCTGCTCCTCCGGCCCCAAGACGACAGCTGCCTCACCACGGGGCTCTGTGCCTCACTCTGCCACCATCAGAGGAACCAAACCCTTGTATTAACCTGCCTTTGTCTGAAAAGCTATCATGGTTTCTGTTTCCCAGCCTGGACTCTAACATCCTGTATTCGACCAAGGCATTCCTGGGCCACACTCTAGTGGATCATGATGTATTTTTTTATCTTTGATTATGAAAATTCTCAAACAATAAACAGCCATATACCCACAAACTAGATTTAGTATTTTATTATTTATTGATGTAGAGATGGGGTCTCGCTCTGTCACCCAGGCTGGAGTGCAGTGGCGTGATCATAGCTCACAGCAGCCTCCAACTCAAGCAATCCTCCCACTTCAGCCTCCTGAGTAGCTGAGACTATAGGCCTGTACCACCATGTGGAGCCTAGATTTAGTATTTCACAAATATTTTGCCATGTCTACCTAATCCACATACGTGTGTGAATGTGTGTGTGTCTTTCAGCTGACTCATTTCAAAGCCAGCCCTGTATGCTGTGGTGCTCTCTCCTTGCATAATTCAGCATACACCCCCTAAGAAAGGAAGCATTCTCTTACATAACCATCATCACACCTAAGAAAATGGACAATAATTACCCTAAAATCTATCCAGTATGGATTAGAATTTACCCAATTACCCCCAAAAATGTCTTTCTACCGCCCCCCGCCCAGTTCAGAACCCATCCGGTGCTGCGTGTTGCCTCCGTGTGTCTCTTGTTTCCTTTCACCGGGGACAGACTCTCACTTGTGTTTTCCTGTTGACGTCGTCTGTTTGATGAAACCAGGCCAGTTAATTGTAGAATAGCCCATGTTTGTCTCTTTTCTCATTGTTTCTCTTCATTTTTCCCTCCATTTATAAACTAGAAGTCAGGCGCGAAGGCTTAGCTACGGGAGGGAGGCGTGTTGGCAAGCGCAGCCCACAGGTGCTGCTGCACCCGTCACACAGCATCTCGCCTAGAAACGCTGGGGACTGGGTCCTCCGTGACGCTGGTCTGACGCTGTGGTTGAGGTGGGGGCTGCGAGACGCCCGCGCTGTGAAAGTGAAACCTCGGCTTTAGCACCTTGTGCCGAGTCTAACCTGACGGTCACTTCACTGGGGTGCAGAACGGTGGTTCTGTGTTAACCCGTCTGCGTCGCTCTGCAAAGAACTTTCCTTCGTCCACAAGGAGCACCCGCCCTGCCCCGTGACAGGCAGGGTGATGCCTCTTTCTCGTCAACCGTCCGCTTCCATGGTAACAGGCTGGTGTGACGGCCGCCTCCATGGGGGCTTTAAATGAGCCCCCCTTTAGCTCAACACTGGCATATACGGTATTTACTCAGCGTTTGATGATCAATTTTCATCATTATTATTCCGGACGCTGAAAATGAAGAAACGTTTCTTGGGCACCTGCCGCTGGGGCTGGTTAGGATTTCAGCTTCTGCAACATCAAGCAGAGAGCGGAGAGCTCTTGGAAAAGGCAGAAAGTGTGTGAAACAGCGACCTTAAGTCGTGCTGACTAATGATTAGAAAACGCAGACATGTGCCAATGTTGAAGGTGGAAAGAAAAATCAATCACCAAAACAAGTAGTGATTTAGAAAAAAGTTGTTTTATATTGAAACCTAACCCCAGAAGAATAAATATGTTCAAATAAATACCATGTTCAAAGCTCCAAAAAACACACTGAGATACTCATAGCTATACTCAGGCAGTTCATTTTTGGGTAAAGGATACTGCTAGATACTCCTACGTGGTACAAAGGAGTATGATTAAAACACAAAAGACCACAGTCGTGAGAAGCAGATAAATAGCAGCAGCATCTTAAAAACGTGAGATAAGAGACCAAGTATGATGAAGGAGCAGCCGAGTGGCTCTTCGTCTTTGCTGAGGGAAGGGCGCTTTGAGTTCCACCAAAGTTTCTCACATACGGGAGTTTAACATAAATTCTGTTTGTTTTGCTTTGTTTTGTCAGTGAGAAAAGCAAACTGGGCAAAACTTAAAACAGCGCAAGGGCTCTTCTCAAATGAAATAGTGCTTACACTTTATTCCTGCTTTTTGGTTTTATTTGTGTGTGTTTGTTTTTAAACAAAGTTTGCATCTGTACACTTTAAGAAATAAACAACAGGAAGCCATTCTTGCTCACCCTCCTCAAGGCAGGCGGGCAGATCCGCCAGCAGGCGCCGCACAGCCCCCGCGCTGGCTGGGGAGGGCCGCGACCTCGGGAGGCTGGAGAACTACAGGACAGCACAGAAAATGCTCCGTCTGGCCACGCAGGACGCACATGGGAGAGGACACTGAGCCGGCAGCGCCCAGGCTGGGCACCACGGCACGCGAGGCAGAGCCCAGGAGCTTCCTTGAGAAAAGGGGAGAATGAATCTTTTTCTCAAACAGAACTGTCCCAGGTGAGAGCCACAAGGATTTTATTCATTGTTTACTCTTCGGATGGCAGGATTTCTTTGAAGTAAAATCTAAATATAAATAAAAATGAGGTAGCAATTTGTTACAAGGCTTCATCTTTTAAAGAGAATTTCACAATTTTGAAACACTATCACTGAGTTCATGTAAATTTTGGCAAAAATATGAATCGTGATTTAAAGAGTATACAGTGATTTAAATTATGACATTTAGAAACACTGGACAAGTTATGTTCCCCATCAGTAAGAGAAAGGGTGAAAAAGTCCAGGTAGTGACCAAGTCAAACTGACCCCAACACCTGCTACTGAGCACGTTTGTTTACACGTGTGTGCGGTTTCTTCACTTAGCGTCTTTATTCTAATCCTGTCAGTGACGTTGATTATCGAGACCGAAACTAACGATCACTAGGCTGAACACCAGCGGTCTTTCTTTCTGGCATATTCTACACTTCCAGGGGCCGTTCATCGTGCTTTAACAAACAGCTGGAGAAGGACTTTCGTTACCTGGTGGTAATCCCCCCAGTCTTTGCTGGATCGTTTCCAAATGGTGAATATATTCTGTCAAGGAATGTTCTGGATCTTCAGAAGCAGTCAGGGATCTTTCTAATCTTGAATTTGGGGATGGAGTGGATCTTCAGACAACCACCACACCGAGGGGGAGAAGAAAAAACAAAAAAAAGAGCTGAACTCGAACTTGACCTTGGTGAGTGAGTGGGAAGGGACGCACAGGCCCTGCCTGGCCAGAGGCCCGTGGGGAGTGGCTCACGCTAGGGCTGTTTCCTTCAGTCCTTTCTGTTTTCTTGAGACAGAGGCTCGCTCTGACACCAGGCTGGAGTGCAGGGGCGTCAGCCTAGCTCACTGCAGCCTCCAGCTTCTGGGCTCAAGAGACCCTCCTGCCTCAGCCTCCTGAGTAGCTGGGACTACAGGCATGTGCCACCATGCCCGGCTAATTTTTCTATTTTTAGTAGAGATGGGGTCTCGCTCTTGCTCAGGCTGGTCTCGAAATCCTGAGCTCAAGAGATCCTCCCGTCCCAGCCTCCTAGAGTGCTGGGATTACAGGCGTGAGCCATGGCCTCCGGCCTCTTCGGTCCTTTCTTAACACACAAGAAAAAAGTATGGCTTTTTATAAAAAGTGCTACATATATACATTGTATATAATTTGCTTTGAAAACCAACTTCTATACAATGTTCCAGAGTTAAAACGAGTAAAAAGTGTTGTATATTATTTTACACCATCCCACAGAAAAAGGTCCTCAGCCACCATTGACTCTCAGTAAGTATTACCATACTGGGCTCTGGGGCACCACGGCCACCAGACGGACCATCCCTGCCCTCCCAGGATCGGGCTGGACCTGCGGCTCTCGCAGACGTAGGCCGGGTGTCTCCTGCCTTGCTCTGGGCCTGGCCGAAGCTGGAGCCCGAGGCTGGAGAGAGATCACGCGCAGAGGTAGAAAAGCCCGAAAGCATCACAACTGACCTTCCCCTCCTGCTCAGGGAGGCTGCTGTCACAGGTCCGGGGCCACGGGCAGGGTCCCTGGTGTGACCTGAAGACACATCCCGGGTCGGCAGGGACTCTCTGGGTTCAGGAGGAGACCGCTGCCGCCGAGGCGCTCGGGGTCCTCCCCAGAGTTATTGAACAACAAAGGGATTAGGAAAAGAAATGAATACATTTTAGTAGAAACGCACATCTACCAAAATTTAAAACTTACAAGCTTTTAAAAGTCTGCATGGCAATTTAAAAACATTTTTAAAGTTTATAATATTGTATTTTAAAAAGCTTTAGAAGAAACCTGAGATTTGAGCACCTACATTTTACTCCCGTGAGGCTGTAAGTGCCTGGTGTCCACGTGGCAGCCTGTGGGGGTGCTTGGGTGGGGGGCTCCGCTAGGACACTGGGGGGGGACGGGGGTCCCGCCTCTGCCCCCTCTGAGGAGCAGGCTTGGGAGGACGGGGTGCAGAAACCCTGGAGACCACCAGGTGTAACTGGGAGGGGAAAACTTGTCTGAAGGCTGAATCGAAGCATTTTAATTTCAAGAAGTAACTATTAAAGTACAAAAGTCAAAACTGACACGGCACTGCCAGGAAAGCCCAGTCGCCGTGGCGCTCGGCAGTGGCTCGGGCAGCCCTCGTCCCACAGGCCCAGCAGCCAGAGGCTCGCTCGCGCCCCTGTGCAGAGCGGGAAGGGCGCTCAGTGCGCCGTTGTGCCTGCCGCGCCCAGAGACAGGGACGAGGGCCCATCAGAACGTCCCGCTCTGGGGTCGGCTCTGCTGCCAGCGCGGCCAGCAGCACATGCCGCAGGGAGCTTCAGAGACAAGTCTGACTGACCCAAAAATAAGCAGCGATGCTCCGAAGGGCAAGAGGTGGCGGCCTGCAGAGAGCCTCGGATGATTCGGGAGGGAAGAAAGACTGTCCTATTAAACACTGACTATTAAAGAATCAACACACTTGGCACTCGGCATCTTTTGGTCGCTGTTCTGCTCCCCCGAACCACCTGCTCACTAACGTTCACTGCAGGAACCAGACCCCACTGTTGCCCCATCTCGCTGCTTCGGCAACTGCACTGACTGGACTCACTGACTTTCTGGTCTCTGTGTTACGTTCCCACTGAACCATGACCGCGCTGGCGAGATCGCTACAGGAAGGAGAAGGGCTCGTGAATCACAGCTACTACGGCAGCTGAGGTCCCACCTGGGCGGGGGGCTTTGCCTGGTGCTAGGGCTCCTTTCCGATCTACTTCTTGCCATTTCTTAACCAAAAAACGCAATCTATAAAAAAAGGAGACAAAACATTTAAAACCAGAGCAAAACAGTCATGAAAATCCCACTGTGACCAAACAACCAGAATTTGGAGCCTTGCGCCTGCAGGTGCAGACTCAGCGTCGTCTGGGTCAGTCAGCTCAGGCCCCACAAGCTGGGCGCGTGCACGGAGCTCACTGTGCGCCCGGCGGGGCAGTAACCATCCCACGGCACCTCAGCCCACCGTGGGCACCACTCGGCTCCTCCCAGGCACCTGCCTCGGCACAGCTCGAGACCCCGACTCTGGCTCCCGTCAATCTATGACCCAGCGCGTGGGAACCGCGTGGCACTCCTGCCTGGCTGCCAGGACCCTCCCATCCCTACCGCCACTTGACAGGCTCAGGACACAGGCCCTGGCCCTCCTGGGAGCCAGTCAGGCAGGAAGCAGGGATGGTGAGGAAACGGGGGTGCAGGCTGGGCAGGGGGCGCGGGTCCGAGACGCCCCTCACGCCTGCAGCTCCCCTGCTTCATAGCGTAGTGGATGCTGCGACTCCCAGAGGAGACTCCCCAAAGGGCCCTCAGGGCAGCACCTCTCTGGGACACGCCTGCTCTCAGATGGTCGCCTCCTTCACAGGAAGACCCTGGAGGCAGGGTCTGGGTCGGCCTCCCTTCCCCATCTAGCACTGGTGTTCTCCCCACAGAGACCAGATGGACAGAGGGACGACAGGTGGCCTGTGGTCAGGAGACCTCAGAGGTGAGGGGACTAAGTGCCCTGAGGCTAGAGATGGCTGAGAGGGCAGCACCCTAGGAAGTCCCACCTGCCCCCCACTTCTACCTGGCCCATTGGCCCAGCTCGGCCCGGTCTCTGAAAGGAGCAGGACTCTCAGCCGCGCTCTGCGTCCACCACCCCGGACAGGCCAGAGCAAGGCCTTGGGAAGGCACCTCTGTGTCAGGGAGCAGATCCGGTGGGACAAACATTTTTGAAAATTCAGCAAATTTTAAAACTATGAAATGAAATGAATTTCCCAGGAACACTAGGGAGCTGCAAAGATGGTGCCTTGTGCAAAGTGAGTGAAGGAAGCACCCAGGGAAGACACAGTGGGCAGAGCTCAGACACTGTGGGTCAGGGTCGAGGGGAGAAGGAGGACGGAGGGGCCCTGCCGAGGCAGGGGCTCCCCACGCCTACAGCCACACTGGCAGGCTCAGGACTGGTGGCCCCGGGAGAATCCAAGTTTCATGCACCTGGCCTCCTCTTACGTGACACGAATCTGACTAAAATACAGGAAACTGCAACTTACAAAGTGAAATGCAGTTTGACACTTATCAGATGTGCCTGTCATCAGAAAGAGTCCCGGCATGAAACCCATTAAAAGGCGAGACATTCCCTTGATAAGAAGGCCTTCACTCTTTAGAGTCAGAAGGTGACGGTTTCATGCAATTACTTCTTGAAGCCAAGAGTCATCTGTATTTTCTTTAAGGCCTCAAATGTCATTTGTCTTAGAATATATTATAGTTTCAAGGAATAAAACCTCCTAACAACCATGCGGTACGCTGCCCGTTCACAGAGACGGAGGCAGAAACACGCGGACAGGATGTGGCGGCATTTACCTTAATATTGCGATGACCACCCTGACAGCCGTGCGGAACTTCGTAAAAGGACGAGACGCGGTGATTCTCTTATCTGCTTTGGAAGGAAATACCCCCAAATGAGCAATCATGGAGAGTGTTTCTTGTTCAGAATCCTGGAACCCACCGATCAACAGCAAGAGATACTTCTTTTGATAAATCAGAGCTTTCCTAAAGCTCTCTGCTCTCAAATAATGCAGGTACAACTTTTCCATCTAAAAGAAAAAAAAAAAAAACAGTAAAACTTAATCGTAGGAAACAGAGACGTCTTACTGACAAAAGCACACTGCACTGTTGCTCTTTACAAAGAACCAGGTTGGTTTTCTCCTCAGCAAATCGCCACAGAAGTCAGCCCTGTGCAGCGTCCGCAGCCAGAAACGGCCCTGCTGTCGAAAGACGCATCTGAGTTTATCAGACAAACCCAGAACCGCAAACTCCTCCCCACGGCACCATCGCTGGTTCACCCGCTAAGTGAGGCCCAGGCTGGGTGTGGGGTGAGGGCTGGGAGCGGGGTGAGGGCTGGGAGACCAGGACGCTGCACAGAGCTTGGCATCCGAAGCCTAAAAGCGCTTTTCCCTCAAGAGCAGGCCCACAGCCGGCACCACACCGGCAACCACCGGGACTCACAAACCCCGGGTCTGGAAAGCATTCCACGTTCCGCTCTTAACTCGTGGGCGAGAAACTCAGTATTCTTACACAACTAAACCAAGTTTCAAATCAAAGTTTATTCTCTCAGACTTCTCGCAGTGCCTCGACTGCGAGAACCAGCGTGAACAGGCCAGCGTTTGGCACGCGTGTGGGGGCTGCACCCAGCAAACGAGATCCTCATGGCCATGGAAATGCTTTTGCCTGCAATTGACCAACCCAGGATTTTCAGAAAAGCACCAGCAGCACTCTGCACCCCCAGCGCTGCTTGTGGGCCTTACTTTGACGTTGCAGGTGTTTGCTTCCACGCTCGCAGCTGGCGGAGGCCGTCCCAGGTCCGAGTGTTGTGAGCTCTGCGGCACCACTGGGTCTTGCTTCCACGCAGGCCTGTCCGACCTCTGTAAGGAACCACAGCCGCACCGTCTACAGAGTGTTCTACGACCAGAACAGCTCGAGGAAAACGACCGAGAGAGGTGAGGCAGGGGGCGAGCACTCCCCACCCCACCTGGGGGCTCAGACACCTCATTTCTCCATGGTGCTCCCAGGACCCTCTCGAGGGCAGGCTCCCCACGCTCGGGGGCAGCCGGGTGTGCGCCAGGCGGGGAGCACGTCTCCCGGATACCAGGACCCAGTGGGGGCCGCAGCAGCCACACGGACGGCACACCGGGCCTGCACCCCTCCCCTCTAGCACCTCTGCCTCGGTGCCGTGTGGCCCCATACGTCAGGTAAGTGACACTCGGGGTAATTGCCACACGCCACGTACTAAAGACGTATGAAAATAAATATTTGTAAAATAAGCCCAAATCCTAAGCTTTAAGTCTTAAACACCCTCGTATTCTATGTAATTTTTAAATTTGTATTTTTTATTGTTGTATCATTTTTTATTGGTTTTTTAAAAAGTATATTTGATCGAGGTTGGCTGGCTCTGTGGACATGGAACCTAAGAACACTGAGGGCCGACGGTACCACATCAACTGATGGATATTTGGATCATTTCCACTTTGGGGCTACTGTGAATAATGGTGCCGTGAAATTTGTGTACCAGTTTTTATGTGGACATGTGTTTTCATTTCTCTTGGGTAAACACCTAGAAGTGGAATTGCTGCGTAATACAGCACCTCCACGTTTAAACTTCTGAGGAACTTCCAGACTGTTTTTCAAAGAACAGTATCATTTTACATTCTCATTCTTTCCACACTGATCTACAGATTTAACACAATCCCAACTTAAAAACCCAGGATGCTAAAATTTATATTGAAAGGTAGAGGAACTAGAATAGCCAAACAATTTTAAAAACAAGAAAAAAGAGAATTCACACTACCCAATGTGAAGATATAATCAATCACTAACCAGGCAGCTGGTAAGGGACACACACACAGACCAACGAACAGAGCCCAGAAATAATACGCAAATGTTCCTGATTGATTTTGACACAGACAATTCCGTGAAGAGCAACAGTCTTTTCAACAAAGCGTGCTAGGAAGACTGGATGTTACTGTGGTGAATTCTTACAATTTTGTGTTGCCTTGGCATCCACAGGGCTCGGCCCCGCAACACGGCACCATCCTCTGCCTTCTCCCGAGTGCCGCAGGGTGGTCGGCCCAGACATCTGCCCCCTCCCTGCCCTGCTCACCCCAGGGACAGGCCCCCACCCGTGTGGACTGCGCGGACGTGCCCCCGTGACCACCTCCCAGTCCCCACAGAGCTCTCGCCTGCTTGCTCTACACCCACCAAGTAAAACCCCCAGGAAAACTGTTGGAATAACACCCTGGACCCAAAAAAGGCTTTGGCCCACGGGCCCCTTTCCTCTCCTCTCTTCCTGTGCCCCCTGACCTCTGTGGGGTGGGGCGCCCTCCAGGCAGAACCCATAAGTAATGAAACCTGTATTTCCAGCTGTGTCCCTCCTGATCACGGAAGGGCTGCTCTTCACCCTAAAGATCCCAAATTACATAAAGATCATCTTCTGCCTATCCCGCAGACCATGAGAAAATGTAACTCAAAATGGATCCTAGCTCTAAATTTTAGGTAAAACTATAAAACTCTTGGCATGATCCATAAAATAAATTGATACACTGGACTTCACCAAAATCAGCAACTTGCTTTGCAAAGGACACTACGCAGAGAAGGAAGAGACCAGCACAAACTGGGAGAAAATATCTGCAAATCACAAATCTGATGAAGGAGTTGTGTCCAACAACGAGAAAACAATCCAGTCCTAAAATGGACAGGGAAGATGCCCAGTAACTTCAGTCATTAGGACGTGCACATAGAAACCACAACGAGACAGCTCTTCACACCTGTCAGAGCTGATAAAAAGGACCGACGGCACCGAATGCCCAGGAGCCTGGCCGCACAGTGCGGCCATCGACCGGCAACCTCCTCCTGCGCATTTGTACCCAAGAAGCGGAACCTGCATCCACACAAACCCTGTAAGCACAGCAGCATCATTTGTGACCGTCCAAAACTGGAAACAACCCGACGTCCTTCAATGGGTGAACAGTTCAACAAACCCTGGCCCGTCCGTACCATAAAACACTGCCCAGTAAAAAAGGAACCACCCAGTGGTCCATCAACAACCCTGACAGATATCAAATGCATATTTAAGAAGTGCAAGAGGCCAGTTCGGCAGGTCACAGACCGTGCAGCTCCGTTCACATGACATTCAGGGAAAGAGCCGAGGTCAGTGCCCGTTGGCACTTCTTCTGGGCGTCAGCATCATTCTGAATTCTGTCAATGGTTATGCAGGTTATGAGAATCTATACCCGTGTGAACTTACATGACATCATATCAAAAAGGGCAAATTTTACTATACGCAAATTTTTTTTTTTTTTTTTTTGAGACAAAGTCTCACTCTTTTGCCCAGGCTAGAGTGCCATGGCGTCAGCCTAGCTCACAGCAACCTCAAACTCCTGGGCTCAAGCGATCCTCTGCCTCAGCCTCCCGAGTAGCTAGGACTACAGGCATGCGCCACCATGCCCGGCTAATTTTTTCTATATACTTTTAGTTGTCCAATTAATTTCTTTCTATTTTTAGTAGAGACGGGGTCTCGCTCTTGCTCAGGCTGGTTTCGAACTCCTGAGCTGAAACAATCCGCCCGCCTCGGCCTCCCAGAGTGCTAGGATTATAGGCGTGAGCCACCGCGCCTGGCCACTATACGCAAATTAAAAATAATTTTTAAAAAGTTTTCATCAGAGAAAATGTAAAGCAAATCACAAACAAAAAAACAGCCCAAATATAAAAGAAAAAAACTAGGCCTTCCAGAAAGCCTGTAAACTATATCATTAGGAAAGTAATAGACCATTTTAATTAAGAGCCAAATAAAACTCTAATTTGATCAGATTTTATATTTTTAGCCAAAATGTCCTTTTATGACCATACGAGAAACATCGCATGGCGGTAGGATCGGTGGTGACACTGTGTGCACGTCTGGGTAAAGTAGAAAACGTGCTACGATGTCCAGGAAAACATTCTGGGACGTTCAGCACGACCTCGAGCTAGCGAGGCTGCAGCCCACAGTGCTCAGCAGGAAACGCTGACGCCCACGGCCCGTCTGTGGAGGACGCCCAGCTGGCCGTCGAGTCAAGCTAATGTAGACCAAGGTGGCGGTGGGCAGGGGCCCGCGTCTCCCACACGAGGAAAAAGTGCAAATACGTACGCTCAGGGCACAGCCCTTCTGCACATGGTGCTTCAGGGTCTTTTCAAGCCTGGACACGGCCCTGCTCAGCTCCGCCTTCTCCTCGGTCGCCGTGTTGAGCGCTTTTGTGAGGGAATCGTTCTCTTTCAGCAAGACGTCCACAAGCTGGATTTGTAGCTCTGCTGCCATTTTTTTCTTGGAAAGGAGAAAAGAAATATAAATTTGTAAGAATCTTTTTGTCAAAAGGCATGCATATTATTTGTGTTTTTCATTGTCGTTGGTTATTTTCAAGGGTTCTAATTTTAAACTTGTTTGGGGTTTGGTGGGAAGCTTGTGGGGCTGGGCAGAGCTGCCATCATGGGGCAGGAAATAATAAAATTCGCCAAATCACATTTCTCTTTGACCTTCTACAAAACAGACTTTGCACAGAACTGGCTGTGTGAATAGTGTAGGCTCCTTAGAAAGGGTGACCCCGACTGTCCTAATGGCACCACACACGGGGCACATACGTGGTGGCCGGGGAGCCTCATTTGCTCATCCTGGGGGCTCAAGTGTGTATGTCCCTTAAAACAGGTTTGTCATTTCCACGACCAAAAGAGCGTCCAGCCTAGAGAGGGTGGAGACACTGGAAAGGTCACAGTGCCCAACGCAGGGGGGACGGGAGGCACCACGCCCACAGTGACACATAGCCGGCGCAGTCGGTGGGCAAGTGGAGTAGTCCTCCCGCTGCCTGACTGTGCGCTGCTTCCACGACGAACGCTGTGACTTCGTAAATGCCACAGAACATTTATCAGGAATTTATGTCAGCCAGGATTTCTAAACCCCGCAGAGGCAGCCGACAGGGAGCTCAGGATTTCCAAGGAGGACTTGGTTTTCATTTCTAGTAAAGGCGCCAACATAAATATACAATGAGCAGGACCCACGGCATCCAGGCCGTGTGCGGCAAGCGCCGTGAGGAAGGGCCCAGACAGCCGAGCAGTGGCCTCTGGGCAGCACGGCTGAGCCCCTGATGTCCCAGCACACACGTCGGGACCCGTCACCGCACGGCCCACACCGCCCATGGGGCAGGCGCCTGCTCGCACCTTCAGGTGGCAACTGTGAATTCCGAGAAGACAGCAAAGGAGGGAGGAACAAGCGACCAGCAATAGAAAGAAACCAGGGGCCGGGCGCGGCGGTTCATGCCTGTAATCCTAGCTCTCTGGGAGGCCGAGGCGGGCGGATTGTTTGAGCTCAGGAGTTCGAGACCAGCCTGAGCAAAAAGCGAGATCCCGTCTCTACTAAAAATAGAAAGAAATTAATCAGACAACTAAAAATATATAGGAAAAAAAAACTAGCCGGGCATGGTGGCGCATGCCTGTAGTCCCAGCTACTCGGGAGGCTGAGGCAGAAGGATCGCTTGAGCCCAGGAGTTTGAGGTTGCTGTGAGCTAGGATGACGCCACGGCACTCTAGCCCGGGCAACACAGTGAGACTTTGTCTCAAAAAAAAAAAAAAAGAAACCAGGAAGCTGCCTCGGCGTCAGGGCGGCGGGAGTGCAGCACAGGGCGCGGGGGCCCACGCCTCACCTGGAAGGGGGCGGACCTGCTCAGCTCAGGCTTCAGCTCCTCTAACGTGCGCAGTAAAGACGCCACTGCTTTCTCGTTGGATGATGTCCAGTCGCTGATGGTCCTGTAAAAATCAGGGCATGTGAAGGTTCACGCTCATCCCGAATGACCGCTACCCAAAGCGACTTCGGAACCCTCTGCTCAAGAGAGACAGGATCGGTGTGTGCAGCCTCCCCTGGGAGGGACGAGTGACACGGCCGGGGGTTCCCACGGAGTCTGCGCGTCTGTGAGTCACGTCATCCGACCTGAGCCGGAGGAACAGCCCACAGGTGGCTGGGCCTGCGGCAGACGCTGCAGTGGCGTTTGGGGACCTTGACCCTGAGACTGTCCGCTGCGCCAGGAGGCGCCCGCCCGCATCGCCACACACACTGCTTCTCGCTGAATTAATTATTCAAAATGCTGCCCTCCATGAAACTTTGCTTAAAAATTGTGTTGCTCTATGAATTAAGTCCACATATAAACAGGAGAACTACGTTAGCTGAATTTCTGTGTACAGGGGAAAAGGCAAATATCAACATTCATTTTTCTGTTCACACAAAACATCACGGTCTTGGCTCCTTAACAGTCACGTCTGTGTCCCAGTCGTGCGATTGCGGCCCCGAGGGCCTCAGTGACACAGACGCGGGCAGCTGACCTGGGTGGTGAGTAACTGGGAGGGTGTGGGGAGAACCAGCCTACGAGAAACTCGGAAATCCAAGGTCAGGTGTGTTTCGTTTCACAAGAGTTTCCCTAATATGAGAATATACAAAACATGACCTTGTCCATCTTCCAGGGGAGCCCAGACTCTCGGAAGAGGAACAGAGTGTGAGCTTGTTAGAAACTGGCCTGAAAGTGGACGCCCCGAACACTTGGGAAGCTTTCTCAATATGAAGGCCGGGACCCAGGGGACCGAGCACCACGCGGCATGTGCCCACCTGCCCACGGTCCGGCGCACAAAGCTGGTGAGCAGCCCGGCAGCACAGAGCAGCTGCTGCCTGATCCTCTCCAGCTCCTGCTGCTGTTCCTGGAGCTGGTCCGGCCCATCGGAGCCGGGGGCGCCTCGGGGAGCGCCCCGGTGGAGGCCACCGCTGCGGAGCGCCTCCTCCTTTGATTCCAGTTCTCTCACGGTCTGCTGGAGCTGGCGGATCTTGTGCTCCTCACGCTGGCGCTGCAACTCTAACTCTCGCTGTTCACAGCAAAGAGAACACGGAAGACCTTCACGTGAGCGCTGCGAAGGCACAGCTGTCAAGCTAAAGACCAAGGACACGGCAGCACACAGGGGAAGGCCTCGGGTCAGCAGTGGCACCCTCGGGGCAGTGGTCCTGTTCTGCTCGGGTCTCACCCAGGACCCCTCAAACTAACTCGCCACACACGCCCCCGCCCGGGCCTCTGGCTGCCTCCAGCTCAGAGGCCGCTAAATTATACCCCAGAGTCTCTGTGGCAAATGTTTTATCTTCACTTTTGAGAACTACTAGGCTTTTGTCAGGCCTACAGCAAGCACTCGGGGTCCAAAGGAGAGGCACCTGCAACGCTGACAGATAGGAGGAAGCTTCACGGTCCGCTGGCCCTGCTCACACACAGACACATGCATGGGAACGTGTGTGCGCAAGTGCACACGTATGAGCCTGCTGGGGAGCCTGAGCACAGCCTCACGTTGGAGCCAGGTCACCACGTGGCCCCTTGGCCTCGGCCTGACCTCTCTGCACATCAGGCTGCCCTCTGGAGCCCGGCAGGACGGGAGGGCCGACTCTCGCTGCACGGGGGACAGAGGGCCGTGGGGAGGGCCAGGAGGGTGAGGCAGCCTTAGCAAAGGTCCAAGGTCCCAGCACAGGAAGGTGTCAGGGAAGCCGCGGGGCCCCAGGCCCCCAGAGCTGGCCCGCAGCACCTGGGGAGCGGACAGGTGCTCACGGACCCCACCCTCCCAACATCATCGCACTCCACGTGCCTGAGCCCCTAAGCAAGCCAGGATTATCATTTTATCTATTGTCCAGATGAGGAAAGTCAGACACAGACGAACTGATGAGTTCATATTGTCCAGAAAAGATGGAACTGCCTCAGAAATGCCTATGTTGGGAGGCTTCAGCAAGCTACAGCTAGAGGAGGATTCTATAATCCAGACCAAATCACCTACGGTAAAAATAACTCCAAAAGGCTACATTACTAAAAACACATATCAAGTGCAACATGAAGAATAGCTGTTAATTTAACGCAGAAAACATTTTCTTGCATTTATTTTTTAAGCAATCATGTTACTATTCATTTTTATAGAAACATCAAAATTAAATAAAACATTCTGGCTAGAAACTTTAGATATGGTTTGGGGAAGTTCTCAGAAAGGAAAGACACCTTTGAGAATCCCGTGAAGGGTGGAGACATTTCCTCCCGGGGGAAGAAGGGCAAACGTGTGACATCTCAACACGGCCCCAGGTCCAGAGTCATCCAGGCCCCCAGGGGTCCCCTCACCTACCTCACCAAACCACCCAGCCCCTCCTGGCCCTGCTGCGCCCCCCTGTGCACACCTCGACTTTCCGAGACTTCTGATGATACCACACTACAACTATTTTGAAGGTTTTTCTAATCAGCAAAAAAATTTATCATTGCTGACACATAGACAAACCTTGACAACATCATGCAAAGTGCAAGCAACCAGACACAAAGGCTACACGTCGTAGGTTCCGTTTACACAAAGTGTCTGGAAGGACCACTCTCCAGACAGAGAACAGATGAGCCGTGGCAGGGGCTGGAAGTGGGAAACGGGAGTGACGACCTAATCAGTATGGGCCTTCACTCTGGGATCATGAAAACGTTCTAAAACTGATTGTAGTGACATTTGCTTATTTCTTTGAATATACTAAAAACCACTGTGCAACTTAAATTGGACCGAATGGTATGTGAATTATATCTCAAGAAGTTGTTAAAAATATTAATCATATACATGATTTGAACTTAAAAAACTAATATAGCATTTTGTAATCTGATTTATCCTTGTAACATTTAGAAACCTAGAGTTTTTGTTTTTAGAAAGAGATGTTCATTTCTTAATTATTTTACAGTAGGCTAACCACTTAAAAAGACCAGGGCATTGGTTTTACTTGTGTTTTTAAAAACTTTATATAATTTTATGAAATTAAAAAAAAAAACAGAAATAGAGGAGATATTTTTTAAAAAGCTTTTAAAAAAATTTTTAAAGAGGACAAAACAAATGTCAATCCATAAGAAGACATAGGGTATTATTTTATTGGAAACAAAGGCTCTTAGTTGACATAAAATGTATCCAAAACACAAGGGCCGAGCAAAGAACAGAAGAAGAGGGAACAATTCCCAGCCCGTCCGATGAGGCCGTGTTATCCTGATACTAAAACCAAAGACATCACAAGAAAACTGTAGACCAATACCCTGTATGCATATAGACTATAAATCCTCAACAAAATACTAGCAAACTGCTAGCAACACGTAAGAAGAATTACTCACCATGGCCAAGTGGGATTCATCCTAGGAATGCAAGGATGGTTCATCGTATGAAAATCAATGTAATTACCACTACAACACAAGACAAGAACCACAGATCTCAACAGACACCAAAAAAACTTGACAAAATCTAAAACTCTTTCATGATTGAAAAAAAGCTGAACAAACAAGGAGTGGAAGAAAATCACCTGTGATAAAGGGCATCTACAGAAACCCACAGCTAACACTGTACGTAACAGTGAAAAACTGGTCCCCCCCAGGAACAAGGCCCGGGAGCCTGCCCTGCTCTCATCCCTTCTGTTCACAACTGTACTGTACCGTCCCCCAGGGTGACCAGGCAAGAGCAGACGTCCAGACTGAACAGGAAGAAGCAAAGCTACATCCATCTATCTGCAGAGGACGTGGCCTTTCCTTACATATGGAAAGATCACAAAGATCTTCTATGTGGAAAAAAAATCCCATTAAAAAATAGCAGACATAATATGCAAGTTCAGCAAGGTTGCAGGATACAAGACCCATACATAAAAATCAACTACATCGCTACACACTAGCAATGAATAATCTGAAAATAAAATTAAGAAAATAATTCCATTTACAACCACATGAAAAAATAATACATAATACTAAATTTAATAAAAAGGAGTACAAAGCTTATATTCTGAAAGCTACAAAACACTGTTGAAAGAAATTAAAGACCTAAATAAACGGATGTTTTGTGTTCACGGACCAGGAGACTTAAGACTGTCAGATGTCAACACTACCCAAAGTGGTCCAAAGTCTCAGCGCAATCCCTGCAGAGTGAAAAACCAATCCTCAAATCCGTATGGATCCCAAGGAGCCCCGAACAGCCAAAACAATCTTGAAAACGAACAATGTTGGAGGAATCGCGCTTCCTGATTTCAAACTCGCCACAAAGCTAGAGCAAGCCGGTGTGCTGCCAGCACAAGGACAGATGCACAGGCGCGGGCAGAGAGGACCCTGGCGTCGCCCACGCACACGCCCTCGCCCTCCCGTCCCAGGGCCCCACAGGGCACCGCGCATGTCCTCGCCCTCGCCCTCCCACGGCCGGGCTCTCTGAGCTCTCACCAGCTTCTCCTTTTCTCTCTGCCACTTCCTCCACTTCCCCGCACGTGCCCGGCTCTGCCTCGTCTCCGCTCCGCTCCGCGTGTCCTCGGGTCCTTCTGGCTCTTTCTGCCGTGTGCGGGACTGCGCTAAGTCTGCCTGCAACCACGCTGGCTTCTCCCTCTCTCTCTCCAGACAGCATCTCAGCTCTCGTTTTTGGGTCTGCAGAGCCTCCACGGTTGGCGTCAACGCAGCACTTACCTCCTTCTCTCTCCGCAGCTCCTCACAGCGCTTCTGCGCCTCGGCCTCGAGCTGCTGCTGCGCCTTCTCCAGCACCGCCTGTAGCTCCAGCACGCGGGCCTTCTCCTCCTTCAGCTTCCGCAGCACGGCCGGGTGCGCCTGAGCGTCCTGGTGGGTGCCGGCCTCCTGCGTCCTCCGGCTCAGCTGCTCCGTGAGGAGCCGCTCGTGCTGCAAAGCCTCCGACAGCTCCAGCGAGTGGCTCTTCTCCGCCTCCAGGTCCTTCTGCAGCTGGGAGAGCCGGCCCTGCTCCTGCGCCAGCAAGGCCTCGAAGCGCGAGTGCTCAATGCGCAGCTCCTTCTGCAGGTTGTCCCTCGCTGTCTGCTCGTGTTTCAGGGCGACGCAGAGCCGACTGCTCTGCGCACGCTGCTTCTCCAAGGACGCTCTTAACTCCTGGTCGGTGAAAAGGTGGGAAAATCAAATAAAAAGGAAAAGTATATAAATGGTTTTCTTGTCCAAATTTCTGTTCGTATACTTTAACCCAGCAATTGTACCTTTTGAAATTTATCCTATAGACAAAAGTATGAGGTTTTTTTGTCACCTTACCACCCTGGCTGCATGACAAAGGGCTTTGGAATTGGTACTGAGTAAGCACACACATGTCCTGGATTCGGAGACAACCCCTCCCTTCCTCAGAAAATCACTCGCCTGGAGGCTCTGGGACATGCACATCGCGCTTGCTATGAACTGTTACTTCTGTGTTGCTGAAAAACCCTCACCAGGACCGGTGGAGCTGCTGGTGGACTTGTTCTGGACCCACACAACTCTGCAAGACCGTGGCCCCACCACTCATCTGTTGTGTGCAGACCTCCGTACTCTGTCCAGGGTGACCAGCGAAGAGGCTGCGTCCACCTTGCAGACCAAATGCTCGAGGCGGTGGGGACCGCAGAGCAGGGACAGCCATCACTGGTCACTGCACTTGCCCACCTTGTGTCTGTCACTACAAAGGGACAATTTCACCTAAAAGATACAGCCCTATCTCACTGCCTCACACTCCTGTCCACTGGGCACAGCGAGGAAACAGCCTCTGCCTCGGCCCCGCTGCCCAGTTACCTCCAGGGACTTGGAGCTCTGGCCCTCCCTCTGCAGGTGCCGAAGCTGCTGCTCCTCCAGCCGGCTCTGTAGGACACGCTCCTTCCCGCGCTCACACTCCAGCTCCTGAAGCGCAGCCTGCAGGTCGTTCTCCTTGCCGTCCAGCATGGATCTGTGCGGGCGCAACAGGCAGCCCCGTGCCTCGTGTCAGAGATGCTGACGGGGACACACAGGCCAACACCCAGGGGAGGGGCCAGGAGCTCCCAGGTCAGGCAGGGCAGACCCTGGCCACTTTCCCGTCACCCCTCCCGCCCAGACCGTGAACCCAGGAGAGCAGTGTGCCACGCTGCCACACCAGGGCACGCCAGAGGTCATTTACTTCCATGCCGAGAAAATCGTGGCAACCACCACGACACTTCCATCTACAGCCAACAGATCTCGGGGGACAGTGCGAGACGGGCCACGGCCCGTGCCCCACCTCAGCTGGAGGACTTCCTGCTGCACGTTGTCCAGGGACTTCAGCAGCCTCTCGTTCTCCTGCTTGCACTCGCAGAGCTCAGACTTCAGAGCTTTCACGGCACTCTGCTCCACCGCCAGGAGCTTCCGCACCCCGTTGGCTTTCTCCTGCTCCTCACTGAGGGTCTTCTGCAGGTCGCTCGCTATGCATTTTTCCTGCTCGACTTTATATGCCAGTAACTCAACTGGAAAAGATGAAGGAACATCAAATCGCATTATCTGTGAGTTCAAAGCGAGCTGTGTAAGTGATGCTGAAACAGAAACAAACCCGTAGGGGGATGGGGAGGTATTCATTTTGGGAAGAAACGAAGTTTCTATGAACTACACGCCGTCGTTTCTGGTGGGGCCAGGATGGTCACCGAGGTCTCTGTCCTCTAAGCCCTTCTCCTCCCAGGCCCCGCTCTCCCGGCTGGAGTGACGTACCCCCGTGGCCATCCTCAAATGCCACGAACCCACCACTCTACCCCGAGTGCCTCCAACAGAGACAACGCCAGGCCCAGATGGCTTCACTGGAAAGTTCCCCCAAAACTTAAGGAAGAAATAACCCCAGTTCCAGACAAACTCCTCCGGAAAACCTGGAGAGGGCCTGGCGCTGCTCCAACACCAAGACCAGGAAAGGGCACAGAGAGGACACGAGACCAGCGCCCTCGTGAACGCAGGAGCTAAATGCTGGCAGCCCATCCCGATGGCGTATCAAAGGGAAAAGCCCAGGGTGAGAGGTCCCGGCCTGAATGCAAGGCCGCTGCCCTGGACAGAACCCAAACCCAGGGACAGAAGGAACTTCCTCAAGCTGACCAAGGGTGTCTGCCCCTCATGCAGGGTGGGAGCTGATATGCTGCCCCCCAGAGTAGGGGCAAGGAAGGCATCAGCCCAAGGGCAGGACCAGCATGACATACAAAAGAAAAGGTAGGTGGGAAATGGAAAATACGACATCATTTATCCACAGGTGACCCGCGAGTCTACACAAAAATTCCCCAAGGATCTAAGTTGGGCGCAAAAACGTACAGCACACTCTTTAATCGGGGCCTAACACACTCAGTGCCCACACGAGACACCTCCTGCCCGCCAGGCCCCGAGGCGAGGCCTGTCCTGCCCAGCCCCCTCCTGGTTCTGACGGGTCGCGCACTTAGTTCTGTCAGCCGAGAAACGCCACAGCCTCGGCGTCCCGACACCCCAGCAGGCGCCTGACGAGAGTGGACATTTCAGCTCCTGAGAGACCGCACGGCCGAAGGGGCCTCCCCATCCTGCGCGCACACCTTGCCACACAGCTGGGTGCTGGGTGGGCAGGCGCTCGGGGCCGGGCTGCACGGGGGTGGGGGCACAGGCAGCGGCACCCACCCTGCCTGCGCAGCTGGTGCTCCTGCCAGCTCCCGCGGGCCTCCACGCTGGTCAGCGCCGTGCACAGCTGCTGCAGCTTCTCCTGGTTCTGCAGGTGCGTCAGGCGCAGCTGGGCGCGCAGAGCCTGTATCTCAGACAGCAGGCTGCTCCTGTCCGACATGTGGAGGTGCTCCAAGGACTTTTCCTGCAGGTCTCCCTGGGGGGACGGGAAGCTGTGAGCAGACTGAGCACCAGGTGTGGACGGCCCTGCACCCCGTTTCCCGTGCCCTGTGAGCCCGCGCTCCATCTGCTCTGGGACAAGCCTGCTGCTTGTGAGTCTGGTGCGGGGACACAGTGGCCCCTGGTGGCCCTCAGTTCCAGGCACCCTTGCCTTGCAGCTTTCAGGCCTGGCGTGTCAGAGCCAGGCCGTGCTGAGCTGTTGAGGGCATCACACGTGGACCGAAACATGATTTCCTCCATTAGTCACAACCACATTCCAAGGCTGGGAGAAACGTGAACTGAAATTTACATACTAAACAGACTCTGTCTCCTTTTCCGCCAGAGCTGGGCTCCAGGAGTAAGTCAAGGCACGGACACAGGGCTATCACTCACCTGCGCGTGGACGACCTTCTCCAGCCTCTCCAACAGGCAGTCTCGACCCCCTGGGTCTGAGCCGCCACGTCCAGGTTGCAGCTGGAGCTTCAGCATCTTCCATTCCTTGTCAAATGCCTCCTGCACGACCTGCAGAAACTCTCCTCTCCAATCAAGGCACACGTCGGCAGGTTCCTAAAACATCGAAACAAGAAACTCGGTGTTCTCACAAACGCGTTCTGCAGGTGTTATATGACTGAATGTCTGTGTCCCCCAAATCCACGCTGAAGCCCTAACCCCAGAGGGCCGCCACCCGAACCTGACCCTTCCGGCACCCTGATCTCAGACATCAGCCTGCAGAGCAGGGAAAGGTCACATCTGCCACCTGGCTGCGGCAGCCATGCAGACTGACAGCTGTTCGCGCAGAAATTACTCTGACAGAAGAGATGACACACAGTGTCAGGATCACTGAGGGCACAGGAAGCAAACGCTGCCATTGTAAGCAAAGAAGAGACCACGAAAAAGATGATGAAATAAGCAAGACTGAGCGATGAGCGAAATGTTGGCAAACTTCCTTGCTTCTTTTTCCGCTGCTATACCTGTGAGGCCCTGGTCTGCAGGGGCTGCCCTGCTGGGCCAGCCCAGGGCGGTCGGCGGTGCACAGGGAGGACCGTGACACACCCACTGACATCCTGTGGGCACCAGCGAGCGCCGGGCACGTTCCAGGCACCAGGACCAAGCCCCTTCCTCCCCGGTGAGCTCCGACCCCAGCTCGGAGAAGCAGAGGGAAGAGCCCCAGGGCTGGCGTCCCTGGTGCCAGGAGCAGACTGGCAGGGGGTGGGGAGGGGCAGGAGGACACCCCTGCCAGGCCGGGTCCTCACATGACCCCATGTGACCAGATCAGACCCCCCGCAGCTCAGCCCAGACAACCAGCCGCTGCAGCCAGGACCCTCCGCTGGGAACTGCCGCAGGTGGGGCGGCCAGGTTTCTCTTCCGTTTGTTTTTGGCTTCACTAAATCAAGCCCTGCACACCCCTCTGCGGACAGAGCTGTTGCTGTAAGCTCCTTAAATTCTTTCAAAAAAGGGGTATGTGAGGTTCAAAACAAGACTTTTATTGGAGTTTACATCTAGGGTAAAAAAAAAAAAAAAAGCTTTTTCTTTAGTTAAAAAGAAAAACCTGTGTTTTCCCACTTATGGACCAAGCAAGTCCTTTACCTTCTCTCCTTTTTGCGGTGCTGCTTCCAGGAGGCCCTGCCCCTCCCTTGGGATGGGGTCCAGGGGTGCGCATGGCTCCCCTCTGCTCAGAGCGCCGGGGGGCCCGCGGCTCTCTGACAGGGCCAGGATCTGGCGGCTCTCCTCGCGCACCATCTGCAGCAAGGCCTGTGGCGGGAAGAACACGTCAAAGTGGGAGAACCAGCCTGACCCCACTGTCCACATGCTGTGCTGCCCGTCGCCCCGTGAGGAAGGGAGCGGTGGAGACAGACAGCTCATGAGGCGCATCCGTGGGCTCCACTCTCCTCCCCGAAACCTTCGGAGACAGCAAGGAAGCCAGGAGAATGTCTGTAAGAGACACCCCCAGGACGGCCCCACAAGTCCCCCCACCCACAAGTGAGACCCACTCCTGGTCTGTGTTCCAGAACGAGCGGCCCCCACGGGCACGCAGGGCCCTTTCTGCCTGATGGCAAGACGCCCCCCCGCCCCCACCCCCACCCCCGCCAAAGGGGCCAGCACAGACGGTGGCCACGGGCCCTGTGGGTGGTAGGTTGGGATGGCCCAGCCCACCAGGGAGCCCACGGCTGGGCCCAGCCAAGGAGGAAAGGGCAGGCCTCTGTATGGGGACGGGACGTGCTCCTGGACAAGGCTCGCCTTTGCAGTCAGGCACCCGGAAAAGCCGTGGCTTTCCTGCCGCCTGAGCGTGGTGAGCCAAGGGGGACGTGAGGAAGGAGCACACTGGCGGGGGGAACACACACTCCTGGCCGCTGCAGCCAAGCCAGGGTGGGGCCTGCCTGTTGGGAACGCCCCAGCCGCTGCGCGAGCCCAGAGAGACGACCCACAAGCGCCAACTTCAGGGAAAACATGCAGAGCAGGACACAAAGGCCCTGGAGTCATCCTCACGGCTCCTGAGGGTGGTTCGCTCCCAAGGGGGCAGAGGGCAGCCCAGACACGGTCACCCACCGTAAGGTCAGACCCCAGAACCAAAAAAACAAATCACAGTCACTTCCTAACAGATGGTCATATGTTCTGATCCCTAAATTCGGGAAGCTCAGTCCCAGTTCTGTCTCTCTGGTGATTAAAGCACAGGTGCGAAAGGTGCCACAGGAGGAGCCGGTGCCCTCTCCCAGGACACGTGTCCAGACACCGATGGCATAAAACCAGGGTGGCACTTGAGCTGACGGAGCCATCAGGGTGTCAGGCTCGGCACCGAGACGCGGCTCGGGCTGGAGAGGTAAGAGGTGCGGCGGGCGCCCCCCTCCCTGCCAGCCCTACCTTCACGTGCTGTGCCTGGACGTCCTTCCCCTTCATGGCTCCCGGTGGCTGTTGAGACCTTCTGGAGATGGGGCCATCGGCGGGAGCCTCGGGGCCCTCTGATCGTGGGCTCAGTTTCCCTCCAAAACCCAAGCCGTCACCTAAAGACATCACAGGGTCTGGGTCAATGGGGGGGTTCCTCGAGGACACACGGCAGAGCGCAGGGCAGAAGGACAGGACCGGTGACGCCCCCGTCTGTGGCACCCGCTGAAGAGCATAGAGGCGGCCACAGCAGAGGACACGACTTTTATAAAACGTAGTAAGATGAGAATTGCAACGTTAAGAAAAAGCATGTTTTGCATATTTACTATGTTAATGTCTGTGATTTAAACATAAACTTACGGGTGTCTGAGCTCACTCCACTCAGGAAAAGGGGAACATGCCTGATGAGGGGGTGGAGCGAGGCCCGAACCCAGCCGGCCAGGGCTGAGGAACCCAAGCGTGGCCTGGAACCCGAAACACCAGGGTCCTCGGTCTGGTGGGAGGGAGGCCGACGCCAGCCCACGGGAGCTTGGGTGCAGGCACTCAGGAAAGCGAGGCAGGGGCACGTCAGGGACAGAGACATAGCTGAAGAAGCGTCTGAGGAAAAACAGCAACCCACTCAGGGGCAGCAGCTCAGGACACGGGCGGAGGACAAGGATGCCAGGGAGACAGGCCCCTCTGCGCTGACAGCCCTCCCTGGTGAGTGGAGGCTGCAGTCCATGTGCTTAGACATGCACAAGAAACGTCCTGACATGAAACACAGAGAGCACACTGGCAAGAAATCAAGAGTAAATATAGCAAACAGAAGAAAACCTCAGAAAAGTTATAACGAACATCTTCAGAAAAATCAGAAGAACACTATTCATGAAACAGGAAATGAAGCACTAGGAGCAAGGAACAGTTAGGAAATAAGAAACCGCTCCTAGAAATTTAAAATACAAGGACCGGGCGCAGTGGCTCATGCCTGTAGTCCCAGCTACTCGGGAGGCTGAGGCAGGGGCATCGCCTGAGCCCAGGAGTTGGAGGTTACAGTGCACTGTGCCAATGCCATTGCCCTCATGGCTAGCCAAGAGAGCAAGACCCTGCCTCAAAAAAAAAAAAAAAGACACAGCTGAATGGGTAAAAAGACAAGACCCAACTGCATGCTGTCTGTAAGAAACCTACTTCACCTATAAAGACACACATAGACTGAAAATAAAGGGATAGAAATACATATTTCTAGAAACCAGTGGAAACCAAAAACAAGGAGAAATAGCTATGCTTCCATCAGATATAACAGATTTCAAGACAGTAACTGTAAAAAGAGACTAAGAGGTCAATTCATCAAGAGGATATAACAATTCTAAACAAATGTGCACCCAAGACTGGAGCACCCAGAGACAAAGCAAATACCAGAGCTAAAGAGAGACCCCGATACAATAATCACTGCAGAGCCCAACACCCCACTTTCAGCAGGAAAACCAACAATGAGACGTTGGACTTAAATCTGCACTGAAGACCAAATGGACCTTACAGATGTCTACAGAATATTCCATCCGACAGCTGCAGAATTCACATTCTTCTCCTCAGTTCGTGGGTCACTCTCAGGGATCGTGTAAGGGCGGCCTTGCAAACGCAACAGGAAAATACCTAATCCTGCAATTTCCCCAGTGACAGGTGAAGATCAGTCCTATGGGCTCTCTCACTCACAAGGCACCCTGCTGGAGTTCTGTTTTGCACAACTTCTGAAAAAGCAGAAGGGATGGGAAAGAGATGTAAATGTCTCTCTTTCAAAATTGTTTTTTGAGAATGTGCTTTTACAGAGTTCCTGAGTAAACAGCAGGAGAACAAGCTGCAGCCTCAGCCATATCTTAAGGACAGAGCCACATCTCCCAGATCTCCAAGGAAAGGCAGAAAGCCACCTTTTGGACTCTGACATCCTTGCAGTTTTAGTTATCGACCTGCTGCCGCTGTTGTTATCAGCTGACAGCCAACACTTTCTTTTTTCATCCCCCTTAAAATCAGTAAGCGACTTTGCCTCCCTGCTGGCATCTCCCTTCTCTCTCTTTGGGATGCCATCTCTCTCTCTCTCCTTCCCTCTTCCCCCTTTCTTTGTCTCTCTCTCTCTCCCCCACCTCCTCTAAAGGGATTAAGTAAACTTTTTTACTTTTAAACCTTAATTTCTGCATGAGAAATCTTCATCCACTTGCACTGTGAGCACCTACTAGAGCACTTCCCACCCTAATAGACAGACCGTATATTAGGCCACAAAACAAGTCTCAAATTCAAAAAAACTCAAATCATACCAAGTATTTTCCTTGACCACAATAGAATAAAACTAGAAATCAATAACAGGAACACTGGAAAATATACAAACACATGGAAATTAAACAATATATATGCTCCTTAATGACCACTGGGTCAATGAAGAGATTAAGGAAATTTAAAAATTTCTCAAAACAATTGAAAATAGGCCGGGCGTGGTGGCTGATGCCTGTAATCCTAGCACTCTGGGAGGCCGAGAAGGGAGGATCACTTGAGCTCAGGAGTTCAAGAACAGCCTGAGCAAGAGCGAGACCCCGTCCCTACTAAAAATAGAAAGAAATTACCCAAACAACTAAAAATAGAAAAAATTAGCCAGGCACGGTGGCAAGTGCCTATAGTCCCAGCTACCAGGGAGGGTGAGGCAGGAGGATTGCTTGAGCCCACAAGTTTGAGGTTGCTGTGAGCTAGGCTTACGCCACGGCACTCTAGCCCAGGCAAGAGAGTGAGACTCTTGTCTCAAAAAAAAAAAAAAAAAAAAATTGAAAATAAAAACACAACATATTAAAACCTAGAACACAAGCAGTAAAAAGAAGAAAGTTTATAGCAGTAAGTGTCTACATGAAAAAAGTAGAAAAGCTTCAAATAAACAACCTAACAATACATCTCACAAAACTAGAAAAACAGGAGCAAACCAAACCCAAAATTAGTAGAAGAAAAGAAACAATAAAGACCAGAGCAGAAACAAATGAAATGGAAACCCAAAAATCTCTTTATAATGTATTTTGTATCGATTTAATTTGTATAAATGATGTTCTTGCCCTAAAAAAAAAAAAAAAAAATCAATGAAATGAAAAGTTTGTTTTTTGAAAAGATAAAATTGACACACCTTTAGCCAGACTAAGAAAAAACAGAGAAAACCCAAACAAACAAAGTCAGAGATGAAAAAGGGACATTACAACTGACACTGCAGAAGTCCAAAGGGTCATTAGAGACTATGAGCAACCGTATGCCAGTAAATTGCAAAACCTAGAAAAACTGGACATATGCCTAGACTCATACAACCCACCAAGTCCGAACAAGGAAGAAATCCAAAGCCTGAATAAACCAATAACAAGTAACAAGACAGAAGCAGTAATGAAAAGTCTCCCATCAAACAAAAGCCCAGGACTCAAAGGCTTCACTGCTGAATTCTACCAAGCGTTCAAAGAAGAACTAATACCAATCCTACCTAAACTACTACAAAAAATCGAGGAAAAGGAAATACTCCCAAATTCATTCTATAAGGCTTGTGTCACCCTGATACCAAAAGCAAAAACACAACAAAAAAAGAAAACTCTAGGCCTATATCTCTGATGAATATAGACACAAAAATCCTCCATAAAATATTGGCAAACCAAATTCAGAAACACGTTAAAAAGATTATTCATCATGATCAAGTGGGATTCATCCCAGGGATGCAAGGATGGTTCAACGTAGGTATGAGGTCATTAAATATGAAATGTCCAATTTTGAATCAAAAGTTTAGTTTATTATATCTCAAACAAGAAACAGTACAATTAATCAAAGCATGTGTCTAAAGTACCAACAGTTTTGCCATCTTTAACGATAGCTTGTTTATGCCAGCAGCAAAGAAGCCTGGAGAGTGAGTGGTAATGAAATGGGAAAAGGAGTTTTCCACGGTTTGTTGAGAATTGAATATTTTTCCTTGCGAGAAGTGGTAGATAGTTGGCGCAAGGTCTGGTAAATACAGTGGATGACAGAGATTTTCCAAGTCCAGCTTCTGTAGTTTGAGCAGCGTTGCCTGTACGGCATGTAGTCAAGTGTTGTCTTGCAAGAGGATTGGCCTGTGCTATTGGCCAATCTCGGCTGCTTAATCACAAACATCCTCATCATTTCATCCAGTTGGTTGCAGTAGACATCCGCTGTAATCGACTGACCAGGTTTCATGAAGCTGTAGCAGATAATATCAGCACTGGACCACGAAACAGACACCATTACCTTTTTTGATGAATATTCAGTTTTGGATTGTGTTTTGGCACCTCATCTTTATCCAACCATTTTACCGAATGCTTGTGATTATCAAAAAGAATCCATTTTTCATCACATGTAACAATACGGTATAGAAATGATCACCTTTATGTTGTGACAGCAAAGAAAGGCAAGCTTCGAGACATTGCTCTTCTGATGCTCATTTAATCCATGCGGAACCCATCTAACCAGCTTCTTTACCTTGCCCATTTGTTTCAAATGGTCCAATATTGTTGAAATAGTAACGTCAAACCTTGCTGCTCATTCACATGGAGGTTGAGATGGATTCGCTTCCACTACAGCTTTCAGCTCATCATCATCCACCTTGGTCTCAGGTCACCCATGTGGCTCATTTTCAAGATTAAAATCACCAGAATGGAACTTCTCAAACCATCGACGTACTGTGCGTTCATTAGCCACATCCTTCCCAAATACTTTCAATGTGATTCATCGTATCAACACAGCAAAGGACAAAAACCATATGATCATTTCAACTGATGCTGAAAAAGCATTCGATAAAATTCAACATCCCTTCATGATAAAAACTTTCAAAAAAAACTGGGTATGGAAAGAAATTTCCTCAATGTAATAAAAGCTATAAATGACAGACTCATAGCAAATATGACACAAAAAGCGGGGAAAAGATCCTGAAAGCCTTTCCTCTACAATCTGGAACAAGACAAGGGTGCCCACTTTCACCACTGTTATTCAACATGGTACTGGAAGTTCTAGCTGGAACAATCAGAGAAGAGAAAGAAATAAAGGGCATCCAAATTGGAAAGGAAGAAGTCAAATTGTCCTTGTTTGCCACGATATGATCTTATATCTAGAGAAACCTAAAGACTCCACAAAAAAACTATTAGAACTGATAAACATAAACAAATTCAGTAAAGTTGCAGGATACAAAATCCACATGTAAAAATCAGTAGCATTTCTATATGCCAATAGCAAACAATCTGAACGAGAAACCAAGAAAGTAATCCCATTTACAATAGCTGCAAATAAAATACCTAGGAATAAACTTAACCAAAGAGGTGAAAGATCTCTACAATGAAAACTATAAAACACTGATGAAAGAGATTGAAGAGGACACAAAAAAATGGAAAGATATTCCATGCTTGTGGAAAGATTCAATATTGCTAAAATGTCCATGCTACCCAAAGCAATCTACAGATTCAATGCAATCTCCATCAAAATACCAATGACATTCTTCACAGAAATAGGAAAAATAATCTTAAAATTTACATGGAAACACAAAAGATCCAGAATAGCCAAAGCCTTTCTGAGCAAAAAGAATAAAACTAGAGGAATCACATTACCTGACTTCAAATTATACTACAGACCGGTGGTAACCAAAATAGCATGGTACTGGCGTAAAAACAGACACATGGAACAACAGAACAAAGTGAAGAACCCGGCAATAAATCCACACATCTATAGTGAGCTTACATTCAACAAAGTTTCCAGAAACATACAGTAGGGAAAGGACAGTTTCTTCAATAAATGGTGCTGGGAAAACTGGATATCCACATGCAGAAAAATGAAACTAGATTCTTCTTTCCCACCATATACAAAAATCAAATCAAAATAGATTAAAGACTTAAATCTAAGACCCAAAACTATGAAACTACTGTAAGAAAACACTGGGAAACACTGGAGGACACTGGTCTGGGCAAGGACTTCTTGGGTAGTGACCCCAAAGCACAGGCAATCAAAGCAAAATTGGACAAATGGGATCACATCAAGCTCAAAAGCTTCTGCACAGCAAAGGAAACAGTCAACAAAGTAAAGAGACAACCCATGGAATGGTACAAAATATCTGCAAACTACCCATCTGACAAGGGCTTAATAACTAGAATATATATGGAGCTCTGACAACTCAATAATAAAATATCAAATAATCTGATTGAAAATGGGCAAAGGATCTGTATAGACATTTCTCAAAAGAAGGCAAATGGCCAACAGCTGAATGAAGAAATGCTCAACATCATTAGTCATCAGAGAAATGCAACTCAAAACTACAATGAGATACCATCTCACCCCAGTAAAATGGCTTTTATCAGAAAGACAGGCAATAACAAATAGGGGTGAGGATGTGGAGAAAGGAGAGCCCTCGTACACTGTTGGTGGGAATGTAAATAGTGCAACCACTATGGAGAACAGTACGGAGGTTTCTCAAAAAACTAAAAACACAACTAATATATACCCAGCAATCCCACTGCTGGGTATGTACCCGAAGCAGGGGACACGGGGAATTCAGCGTATTGAAAAGATATCCGCGCTCCCACGTCTATTGCAGCACTATTCACAATACCACGATCTGGAATCAACCTACGTGTCCATCATGGATGAATGAATAAAAAAATTGTGGGACATACACACAATGGAATATCCTATAGCCACAGAAAACAATGAAATCCTGCCGTTTGCAACAACGTGGATGGAAGTGGAGAACATTACGTTAAGTGAAATAAGCCAAGCACAGAAAGACAAATCTCGAATGTTCACACTCACATGTGGGAGCTGAGTATTAAAACAATTGATTTCACAGAGACAGAGTAGAGTGACAGTTACCAGAGGCTGAGCGGGGTGGTGGGGAGGAGGGGATGAAGTAGGGATGGTTAATGGTGCAAAACTATAGTTAGTTAGACAGAATGAACAATATTTGATAACACAACTGACTATACTCCACAATAAGTTAGGGTATACTTTGTAATAACTAAAAGAGAGGAACCGGAACGTTCCGAACACACAGAAATGGTAAATGTCTAAAGCAACGGACACCCCAGTTACCCTGATTCAATTAACATACGCGGATGCTGGCACCAAAGGGTTGTGTGTACCCTGTAAAGATACACGGGTACTATGTGCCCATAAGATAAAAAAAATTTAAAAATCGTCAATGAGGCCCAGACCAGTGGTGTCAACTAGAGAAGCAGAATATTCACAGCCCTGCAGTCTCTCACGAAACAAGAAGAAAACCTGGCAGATGCCACCACAGCCAGGGAGCCCCAGGGACTCCACGCACCTCCTGCCCCGAAGCCCAGGGAGCACGCAGCCCCCCACGTAGTCCTGAGGACACTACTACCGTCACCACTCTACTCCTCTCAAATGTGTCCTGAAACCTACAGACAGACGGTGGGATCATTCCCAGTGTGGGGGACAGAGGGTGGGTGGGGGAGGGCAATGTGGGTACAAACGAGGGGCCTCTGCCCAGCCTCCTTCCTGCACAGACGTCTGAACGCAGCGTGTGAGCTGGGCGTCTCCCGTACAGGACACTCTCAGGAAAACGGGCAAAACCTGAGTGTGGTCTACAGAGGACACCAGCCTTGCGCCAGTGCGGGTGACCTGGTGCCCAGCCCCATGCTACGCCGTGGTTACGTGACACACACAGCAAAGCCTGAGGCCATCTCAGGGCACAGACCGACGCGGAGACGGGGCACACTTGGCAAATGTGGACGTGTGGAGTTGGGGAAGGACAAACAGGAATTTTTTAAGCTATTTTGTAGTCTGAAACTGCCAAAATAAAGAGTTAAAAAAAAGATAACTCACTGTCTTCACTGCCGTCATTGTTTTCTTCTAACCCGACAGGAGGTGAACGTAACGTTTCTTGAGAATCGAAAGATGTTATGATAAAATCTTCGACATCTTTCTCCTGTTCAGATAGGAGAAACGTTTAAACAGTCATGAAACAATAAGTAATTACATCACAGAGCTGAACCTGCCAGATGAAAACTTTCTATGGCTTGAATTTATCATCTTCCCACATAGAACCCCAAGGAAAGTGCTCAAAACCCGTGAGTACATTGAGGTCACGCGCTTCCCATAATTTAATCAGATCCGCCCACATCTGTTTAGGGATAAGGCCGCCACTAGCAAACATTTCAGACCTTAAAATTTTTTTGCATGAAATGACAGTATATGGGTATCTCTGATTATATGTATGTGCTAAATTATTTTTTATTTTATCTTACTGAAGACATGCCAAATCCCAAAATAACTGTTAGAAAAAACAGAATCTAACTCAAAAATAATAAATTGAAATAGTCTTAAAATTAATTAACATTATGTGTGAAACCTGTTAAATATGAAACACTACTGAAAATCAATCTAAAAAACATAACCAGACAAAGAACTCTTATGCAAATTATACAGGAAGATCATGTGTGGCTGTGCCTCTTGGAATCAGCGTCAGTTAAGAAACTGCGCAGGGCAAACTTCGGAGGAGGCCAGCGCATCTCAATGTCTGAAACCCCAAATGCCCCCCGTGTTCACATGACAACAGCTCTGTGGGCAGCCAGCACTGTGAGGCGCCCACGTGTCAGGCGCTGAGCCAACAATGGCAGCTGCCGTGAGGCCGGGCCAGCCCTGCACACTCCTAAGGGAACGCTGGCCATGGGCGGGGAGCACCTACCACAGGCGTCCTCTCCACAGGGCGGTGGTCGGCCGGCGCAGACTCTGCCCACGGTGGGGCCTGTCCTGCTGCAGACACGCCCAGGTAACAAGGCAGCCCCGGCTCATCAGCCAGCAGCAGCGAGGCCGGGGTCCGGTCCTGCAGAGAGGCATCGGCACTGCACAGGCTCAGGACGTCCGAGTGGGGCGTCAGGAGGAGGCTGGGCTGGGGCTCGAGGGCCGAGTCCTTCCTGAGGACCTCGGGGGAGCTCCAGGAGGACAGGTCCAGCACCCGGACCGGGCTCTTCAGGGGCTCGGGCAGGTCACTGCAGCTCAGGGCACGGGCGCCACCACGCACACAGGTTGGTAAAGAATGGGACCCATCCTGCAATTCTAATGTTTCTTGAATGGGAAAATTTGGCATTTCATTTCTTATCAAATAATCCTGATCTTTAATGGCAACAGTTAGATCCCTCACGGTCTTGTCGATATTAAATGCACCAACAGGAGGCGATTTGTCGGTTTCTTCACCGTTGTGGGAACCATCACTCGAACTGTTTTCTAACCCAAATGCTGACGCCAATGGCTGTTGAAATTTAAAATCTGCAGTGTTGACATCCTGGAAGGTCACAGAATATACCAGATGGTTCAGTTTTTCCTGAAGTTGTTTCACCTGAGCTATAAGATCGACTTTCTGCAGCTGATAATCTTCCAGTACTTTTTCCTTACCCTGAAGGTAAAAAGGGGAAACACACAGTAAAGCAGTGGAACCCTAGGGCGTCTCGAATATGCCTGTCTGAGCACACAGTGGGGAGATTCCCTGATGAGCCCTTGGTCCCTCTAAGTGCTTAACATTTCAGTTTATTTAATTTCATGAAAAACAGAATCAAGGCTTAAATCTCTGTGCTCAAAAAACAATTATTAGCTGGGTGCAGCGGCTCGTGTCTGTAGTCCTAGCACTCCAGGAGGCCAAGGCAGGAGGATCACTTGAGGTCAGGAGTCTGAGACCAGCCTGGGCAACAGTGAGACCCCATCTCTACAAAAAATTGAAAAATTAGCTGGGTGTGGTGGCGCACACCTGTAGTCCCAGCTACTGGGGAGGCTGAGGCAGGAGGATCATTTGAGTCCAGGAGCTGGAGGCTGCAGTGAGGCTGTGACGATGCCACTGCACTCTAGCCTGGGCAACAGAGCGAGACCCTGTCTTAGAAAAAAAAAAAAAAAAAGACAACTATCATAACCTATTTCTGTGGTAATTTACTAAGGACACAAGCCTTGTGTGAGGAAAAAAGTACTAGAAGGTTCTTTGTCTGAACACTGAAAAACACAAAACTGTAGTTTCTGTAATGAATGCAGAGTTTGTTGATATGTAACTTCCAAGAATTTGGTGATCAGCTCATGATCCCACAGGCTGAGTTTTCTGAGGGCACCCGATGAACGTATGAAACAAGAGTTGGGTGTCTCCTCTCAAAATGCAGGCCTGGGCCACGTGCTTCTCTTGGACCACGCACAGTGCACGGTGGAATTCAAACCCTTTCAGGGCCTAAAGACCGTGGTGTACACACGGCCTGGCAGTGCGCCCACCCTCCACTCACACACGTGGAGCGTCTCAGCAATGCGTGCAACACGCCAGCCGGGCTGCCAGGGGCACAGTGAGCGTGGGCCTGAGCAGGCTTCGGCGCCGAGTGCACTTTGGCGCCGCACTTGAGAGAACAAAACCAACCAGCTGGACTTGGTCTTAAGAGCTTCGGGTTTCAGAACTCGCATGAGGAGTCGCGGACCTGTTCTGTCAGCAGTAGCGTTGGCAAGGGCTGCCAGCCAGGGAGGAGGCTGCGCCAACGCTGAGGCACCCACGCCCCGCAGGACTCTGGACACGCCCTGCACTCCAGGGAGCTCGAGGCCCCAACTACCAGGAAAAGAAACTTCAACTTTTCCTCAAGTAGAATCTGAGGTTCAAAAACTAAGCATGAAGGCTTTGAAGGTGAAACAGACACTGGCAGTGAAAGTCCCGCGCCACGCAGGGGCGATGTGGTCCTCGCACGGAAGAGAAACCACGCCACGCGGGGGCCGCGTGGTCCTCGCACGGAAGAGAGACCTAGAGACACGGCCTGGAGCACGGCACACCCATCAGCTCCAGTCATGGACATGAGGAGACTTCACCTGCTTGCTTTTTACAAGCAGCCTGACCACAGAAGACGCGTGTTTCTGAATGGAGCACGCAGCTATGGACAGCACCGTTACAGAACAGGACGGACTCAGAGAGCAGGTTGCTGGGCAGCCCTCGACGGGGCCTTCTGCTCCAAGACAAAAAGCGCTTAGAACATTTCACACAGGAAATGCTTGTTGACAGACAGGCATCTGATTAGAACCAGACAGGGAAATGAAGAAAGACTGTCTAATACAAAGCAATCTCCGTATCATTGTATAAACCCTATCATATTTAAGAAACAATTGTTTTAAAAAGCTTAAATAAGTTGCAAAAATAATAAGCCTAAAGTTGTACAAGACAGTGAAATCCTCAGCTCAGCCCAACTTCGCTGTGCACAGACTCCAAACGGGCCCAGGCTGGCGCCAGCTCCAGCCTCCCTTCTCCACTGCGTCATAAGCCACCAGTGCTAACTGCCCCCTCCCCCTGCCCCCACACTCAGCACAGAGTCATCAAAATTAAGAGAAAACAAATAGGAGAGGAAGGAAAAACCCAGAGTCTCCTTCAGAGAACAGCCAACGTCTCCCGGTCCAGCCCAGCCCAGCCCCCTCACAGCCCCCTAGGCACAGAAGCTACGGCTGGAGGCCCACAGCGGGAGGAGGCCTACCCGTGGGTCCTGGTCCCGGCTGTGGAGACTCGAGGTCAGCCGCCTGCTGCTGACGCCCTGCTCGGGCACCTCCGCGTCCCTGAGCATCCACACCTCCGTGCCGCCCTCCAGGCCAGGGTGCCGGCAGGCGCCGGGCGGCCGTGTGCGGGCGGCAGCCCCGTGCACCTGCTGCCTGTCCAGCTCCATCTGGCACTTCAGGAACCGCTGGTTCAGCACCTGCAGCTGGCGGCTGAGACGGACACACTGTGTTCGGAGCCGCTGCAGCTCAGGGGGCTCGGCCGGGCCGGCCAGGGGCTGCTGCTCCAGGGCACAGCGGAAACGGGCCACGGCCGACAGGACGGCCTTCAGTGCGGTGGAGTGGGCCGCTTTCCACTTGTTCACGGCGTCAATCTCTGAGTCTCTCTCAGCAATCGTCGCTTCCTTTGCTTTTAGTGCAGCTTCAAACTCCTGGATCCGGGAGGCCATGCCCTCGACCTCAGCCTCCCGAAGGGCCACACTGCGCCCCAGCTCCGCCAGCTGCCGTGCGGCGGCCTCCTCCGCACCCTGCAGCCGCTGCCGCAGGGCCTCCAGGGCCTGGCTGTGCCCGAGGGCCTGGTCGGCCAGCAGCTGGCTCAGGGCCTCCTTGGCTGCGAGCGCAGCCTGGAGCTCACCCTGCAGCGCCTGCCCGCAGGGGCCCTCCGCCTGGGAGCAGAGCAGCTCACTCTGCAAACTCCCTGCCCGGCTGTCGCTGGCCCCCTGCGCCGCGGGTGCCATGAGAGACAGCTCCTGCTGCAGCTTCTCGATGACTTCGTGGAGCCGTTCAATCTCCTCTGCCTTGTCCTTCTGTAAGCGTTCCTGGTTCTCTCGCAGATTTTCAATAGTGGCTTTCAGCTCTTCAATCTCAGAACTTCTGGTGCACACAACCTGAAGAGAAAGCACATTTCGGAGACCAATTAACACGCCCACTCCTGAATTTCCTTCTTTCAGGACACAGTTCAGCCTGAATTCGTTCCTGGAGAAGTGGACAGACTCAGCCCCTCGAACAAAGCAGCAGCGCATGGAAGCCGCCAAGTCACGGCCCGGCCCTCGGGAGCCCTGGGCAGGGAGCAGAGCCGCCCACCTCCAGCCCACACTCTGCGTCTGAGCCGGAGCGAAGCTCCAACACGGCTCCTCTCAGTCGAGGATGTCGACACAAAGACGCTTTCACTACCCTTTGAGTGTTTGTTTTGTTAATATCTAAGCGACTCTGATTTGACCTTCCTGAAGGGGCACTTAGTTTGGGGCATCGTCCTCACTGGCGAACACACACAGCAGACGTGGCTGGAGAATCTGCGTGAATGAAGATGTGGACCGGCCGGGAGGCTGCGCACCCGCGAGGCGGGCGTTTCTGTCACGGCTGCCTCAGCAACCTCGCCAGGCACCAAGGGGCATGTTTACTTGTGCCATGTAACCCAATCTTTGACAATTTTAAGAAATATTATTATTTTCATTTTAAAGATAGGAAAATTGCAACTTAGACATTAAATATCTTCCTAAACCCATAAAAATATTAAGTGGAAAATCAGTATTGAAATCCAAGTAAGTTAGTTCCAAACTATTCTCTTAAGATAATATTACTGGTAGAGGCCAAGAAAATGGAAAAATTCTAACCAATTTGTATTCTAACAATTTTCGAGCAATTTCGTATAGTCTAATGTCTTACCTCCCCAAAATTAAGGATTTCGTAACAACACTTGGTTTCACTCAAACCACTTCACAATTACTTTGAACTCAAATACAATCTGGCCTTTAGTAAAAACAAGAAAGAACCTAACGATCTTCTGGTTTGCTTTGGCTCACATGGCTGGACACTCATGCACGTGTTCCGAACACGAGCACGACAGCACGGCTAGCTGAGTCCCCCATCTCATCGTCAGCTCTGCTTCGCACACTCCCGACTGGGCTGCGTAGACTCGTGTCTGTCCTTAACGGGCCGTGAAGGAACTTCTAAAGATAATGCTGACCGTGTGCGGTTTTTGCTCATGCACTGAATACACTGGGATAAAAGGGCGTGCACTGCAGAACACTCATAATCACAGCACAAACGTTACATTTAAAATACTGGAGCCAGCATAAAAAGTGGCTCTAAAATGTAACACACTAAAATCAGTCCTCTAAGATACAGTGCAACTGAAACAGCACAAAGAAGACGAGTAAAAACAGGCTACGGTGGCAAAAGAAAGAGGAAAACAACTTCAGGTTGCAGAACTGAGAAGAGTAGATGCTGCCGCCAAGAGCACGGAGATGGCCTCAAAAGTGGCGTGGTGGCTCCGTGTCTGGCCAGAGCAGCCCCTTCCCACCAGGCCAGTGCAGAGTGACAGGTGTGAGCACCACCTGCCCTCAGGCAGCACAGCAAAGACAGGCTCCCTCCGCCCAGACGTGGCATTTTATTGGAGGAGCGCCACTCCCTCACCAAATGCAGTTCTCTGCGGCGTCTGGAGAGGCCGTGCCAGCAGGGGACTCGGAGGGGCCTGCAGTGGGCAGACTGACGAGAAAGGCGGGTTTGGGAGCAAGGCCGGGGTCTACGTCAGGTGGGGACAGAAGTTCCTCAGAAACCCAGTGGGTCACACCCCACCTGCCTGTGGGGCCAGGAGGTCGTGCAGGGAGCACCACGACATTGCGGAGGCCACCGCGGGGGGTGTTTCAGCTCCCGAGACTGCCCTCAGGCAGCGTGGCACAATGAGGTCCAGGAGGCTGTGGAGAGCAAGGGGTATTCCCAGAGAGACAGAGAAGCAGGGCAGGAAAACCCCGAGTTCACGTGTGAGCTCTGCCCAGTCTCGACAGCCGCCTCTGCAGGCAGGACAGGGCACCCGCGTGCAACCGAGCTCACTGCCGCCAACACAAAAGCCTCAACACTCTTCAGAAGCCAGAGTCCCCAAGGCACAATTTGCAGAACGTCAAGAATGCAAATCAAAATTATTCAAGATACAAAAAAAAAGAAAATCAGCAGCAAAGACAACCAACAGCAACCAGCCTTGAGATGATAAAACGCCAAAAAGCAAACCAGGACGTTGAAGCAGACGTCATAGTTGTGCTCCTGGACATAAAGAAAAGCATCCTCCCAACACACAAAAAGATAGGAAATTGGCAGAAGAACAGAAGCTACAAAAAGAAATAAAAGTCTACACCTCAGAGTTACAATATCTGAAATTTTAAATTCACTCCATGGGCTTAAAAGAATACTGAGCATGACAAAGCGTCTGCAAACTTAAAGAATCACAAAAATGACGCCATTAGAGGCAGAAAGGAAACGGAGGACAGAACCTCAACTGCGCACAGGACACAGGCAAGGCAGGGCGTGTGCACCGTCCCCGCTCCAGCAGGGGAGGCAGGAAAAAGACCCTCAGCAAACAATGGCCCAAAATTTCCCGATATGGGCTGGGCGCGGTGGCTCACGCCTGTAATCCTATCACTCTGGGAGGCCGAGGCGGGCGGACTGTTTGAGCTCAGGAGTTCGAGACCAGCCTGAGCAGGAGCAAGACCCCGTCTCTACTAAAAATAGAAAGAAATTAATCGGACAACTAAAAATATATAGAAAAACTTAGCCGGGCATGTTGGCGTATGCCTGTAGTCCCAGCTACTCGGGAGGCTGAGGCAGAAGGATCGCTTGAGCCCAGGAGTTTGAGGTTGCTGTAAGCTAGGATGACACCACGGCACTCTAGCCTGGGCAACACAGTGAGACTCTGTCTCAAAAAAAAAAAAAAAAATTTCCCAATATGAAACATTCATGTGAAATGCCCACAACTAGTAGGAAAATAGAATCTATAATTTTAATAAACCCCAGAAAAGAACTCACTAGCCCACACAGCTTCACTGAACGACACTATTCAACACATAAAGAATAAATAACGCCCATTCTGTACGATCCTCCAGAACACAGAAGAGGGAACGATTCGCTCAAGGAGCCAGTGCTACCCTGACACCACAACCAGCACGGGGTAAAGGCAAACCAATGGGCAAAGAATGGTTTTCAACAGATGGTGCTGGCACAACTGGATATACACGTGCCAAAAACTAAACTTAAAGTACATCAAAGGCCTGAATGCAAAGCAGAACTATGAAATTTCTGTGAGAACACAGGGAAGTATCTTTGTGACCTTGGGTAGGCAAAGAACTCTCAGCAGCTGCAGCTGCCGGCTCACCCGCGCCATGTCCCTCTCCTCACCATACAGAAACGCCTATGGGAACAACAGCAGTAACCACGGCAGCACAACCAACAGAGCGCTACTACGCAAAACGCTCCTCCAGCCTTGCAGATGTGAACTGTCCCAATTAAAAGCCTGTGCTTTGAAGTTTGGAAATCAGAAATTCAATTTGAAAATGGTTTTCTATTAAAGTCCTCTCTGTTTAAAATGACGTATTAGTTTGACTGTCAAACTAATCAATTACTAAATTTCTCCAGGAAATTTACTTCAAAACAATCACCAAAGATAAAGTATGCTCTTATCTGCTTCTCCTATAGTAACTAAGAATCCACACTGGGCCGGGCAGGGGCTCACACCTGTGATCCCAGTACTCTGGGAGGCCGAGGCAGGAGGATCGCTTGAGCTCAGGAGTTTGAGGTTGCTGTGAGCTATGAGGACATCACTGCACTCTAGCCAGGGTGACAGAGTGAGACCCTGTTTCAAAATTTAAAAAAGGTTCACACTGAAAGGATAACTACTTACTAGGATCAGCCTAAAACTCCCTTTTCACTCGAGATATTTTAAGATCTTATAGACTCGACTTTTGTGAGAATCAGACACGAATGACACAACCCCTCAGCTGTCTTCCACGCCCTCAGTTCACCCGCGGAGCCTGTGCCAGGTGGCACCACACACAGCGACTGACCCACACATTTCAAGGCTGCCTCATAAAGTTACGTTTTCTTTGCAACTTTTAGTATCATCTCCCCTGCAAAAAGGTTGGTTTTCTTTTTTGCTTCAAAAGCCCAGCTACATTAAAACAGAGAAGATTGAAAAACATATTTTTTCCCCATCCTGCCAGCGGGAAGCTTAACAGAGAGAACCCCTCACTAAATGTCACCCCTTCTAGAAGAGCACGGCTCGAGATGGCCAAAGCCATTCACATCCTCCAAGGCGAGAATCTGTGTCCTCACAGTTTCTGTCATCAGGGAAGTGCCTGTCCTCAATTTTACTCCACCGAAGACCCTATCAGTGCTGCCAACAGAAGAAGAGCTTGGAGGGGGGCCCCTGGCTCCTCACTCCTGACCCCTGGGAAGTCCCAGAACCGCCCCAGTCACGGCCCAGGCAGAAGTCGGGCCACTTGGGGTGTGTGGGAAGGCATGACTGCACGCCCCTGCAGCTGGCCCCAGCACCCACAAAATCACCCCAAACGCAGGGTCGAGCTGGACCTTGTTTGGTGTACCTTTAGGTCGGCATGCTCATCCTCAAGTTCTCCGGTGCTCACGGCAGTCTGGGAGCTCTGCACATCTGATTTTAAATTCAGATGTAGCACCTCTTCATTTTTATCTGCTATGTCATTTTTAATCTCCTCCAGATGTCCTTTTAAGTCTAAGACCTTTCATTAAAACAGAAGTATTAAAAATTAGCTAATATTCTAATTGGTTTAATAATTATTAAAATACCTTCGATAGCTTTAAAAATACAAGCACGAAACAGCTATCACCTCCTACGCACACAGACACGAGGGAATCACTGGGAACTACGGCAGTCACAACCCGCCAGCCACAGTGTCTGGGCGCCAGGCCTTCTGCACAGACATGCAGGCCAGGCCGTCAAATGCCCCACGCCCAGGGCTGGTCCAGCCCCCCTGCTCCCGCCTACCTCGCTGTCGCGCTGCAGGGGCGCCCTCTGTGCTGACTCCCATTGCACCTCGGGACCCGCAGGAGGGCTGTCTGGAAGAGGCCCAGGACACCTACCCTCACCCAGTCCAGCCTGCAGTGTGGACTCCAGAGGCAAGTGAGTCATCTGCTGTTCCTTTAGTGCCTCTTTATCCTATTTAGGAACCAGAAGGAAATTTATTTCAGGCAAATATTTAGGAATCAGGGACTTCAGACTGCTGTCTGTTAAACCACACACCACAGTGGCACACCTGCGCACACCTGCGCTCAGCGACTCGGCACACCACACAGGGTGCATGGAAGCCGGCCTGGGGAGGAGCGTGACCCTCACCGAGAGCCACAGTGTGTGTCTGCGATTCCACTGCGGGGAATTTGTCCTCAGCAATTATTCAACAGGGCACAAAAATATCCAGCAGACTCACTCATTTTTTAAAAATTGGAAAGACCATGCGAAAAAAACCGGGCAGTGGCTACCGGTACATCCACGCGATGAGTGCAGCATTGCCTGCCTGTGAGAAAGTTTTCAAAGAATACTTATCATGAAGAAAACGTCCACAGCATATGAAGCGTGGAAGAAACAGGAATACGAAGTTGTACATGTAGTCCAGTTTTGTGGCGGGAAAAGAAGGCATTTTCTGCACCCCGCACCTAAAACCCCAGTACGTACGTGCTGGGCAGAGGAACCGCGCCCCTCCCGGGACCTGACATGGGGGCAACTCCACCCTCCAGAAAAAGCCAATTCACCCAGCAGGCCCCACACACAGGAGACTCAGGCACGCCGGGGGAAACCCGCACCTAATCCCAGAGCAGGATTTGTGTCTGACGGCCAAAGTACTGATTCCAAAATAAAATTTCTCACTGAGCCTCATTCTCAAGTAACCTTTAACCTCCAGTGACATAAAATAAATGAAAAGTCAGAAATTCAATGTGTTTTAGCCAAATGCTCAAAAAGGAGGCACAGCTACTTCCCGAGGTGCACACGGGTGTCCTCCTAGCCGCAAGGGGAGGCCCCGCCGGAGAAGCTTTCCCCACCGACACAGACGGGGAAATATCACCAGCACGTGATTCAGAGTATAATGTTGTCGCTGGGGAGGTGACAGACAGCCCTAAATTCAAAATAATTATAACTCACTCTAACTAAAGCATTTGGTGAAAAAAGTTTTTTTAAGCCTGAAATCTTAAATATATTTATTTTATAAAACACTAAGGATAAATTCAGAGTTCTTGACCAGCCTGAACGAGAGTGAGACCTCGTCTCTACTAAAAATAGAAAAATCAGCTGGGCGTGGTGGTGGTGCCTGTAGTCCCAGCTACTCGGGAGGCTGAGGCAGGAGGATCACTGGAGCCCAGGAGTTTGAGGTGGCTGTGAGCTAGGCTGACGCCACGGCACTCTAGCCTGAGCGACAGAGTGAGGCTTTGTCTCAAAAAAAGAAAAAAAAAAAAAATTCAGAGTTCTTGAGACATTAAGAACTGGTATAAAAATCTCTATGAAATCCTACTATGGTAACGTTATAACAGCAAGGCTCTCCAGCGAGGTCACAGTAAACTCGCCAGCCAGGCACCAGTCACGTCTGCTCGGCTCTGACACGCGTGTGCTCCTGGCACAGGCTCTGTGGCCCCAGTGAGAAGACCCGCCCCCACCTCACGCCCGGGCTGAGCGCCTGGACGTCCCGCTGGCTTCAGCTACAACACAGACACTTTACTTGTAATTCCTTCACAATTTTTTTCTGTTTCTCCAATTCTTCCTGGAGCTGGACCACTTTTCTCCTGGTGTGGGCATTCATCTCTTCCAGACGCTTAATTTCTTCTTCCTGGATTAGCACTTGTCTGTCTGCCAACTCTTTCTTTATAACCAATTCATTAAATCCATCCGATTTTTCTCTCAACTTCTGTTGTAACAATTCAACCTAGAACAATAAAAAATGCTTGAGAAATACGACCAACTATTTAAAAAAATCTATCTTCCAAATTAAAAAGTACATAATACAACTGACAGCAGAGAAAATGGACATTCTACACGTTTCTCTAGACCTAGGTTTGCAATGAAATCTAAGGAAAGAATATGACAGAGTTGTATTACAGAGGACATTCTCTTTATAATACAAAATTTGTCAGTAAAATATAATTTATTTTGATAGAAAGGAATAGACTACTACTCAAAAACAAAAAAAAGAACCAACTATGGCTACACACAGCAACCTAGATGAGTCTCCAGGGAATCAGATACAGTGAAAATTGCCAGTCCCAGAAGATGATGTAGGCATGATTCCGTTCATAAGTTACAGAGACAGAAGACAGGTGAGCGGTTGCCAGGGCCCAGGGCAGCTGTGGCTGGGAACGGGCACAGCCCCTACAGGCAGGGAGCGCCGGCACTGAGAGGCCACTGCTGGACCTGGGCACAGGCACGAGGGTCTGAGTCCTACTTACACTGTGACCCCAAAATGAGTTTAATTTAAAAAGCATAAGCAAACCACTAGAGCTATCTCTGACGACAGGAAGCCAACGGCTGCAGCCCCAAGAAAAAGCAAGAAGGACCAGCAGGGAGCAGACGGTGAGCATGGCCCCCACTGGTCACCAGAGCGAGAAGAAGCCATGGCGGAGACGGCAGCAGGGACAGCAGCAGAGGTAGGGCTGCCTGTCCTTACCTCTTCATCCAGCCGGGCATGCTGCTGTTCTCGTGCACATGGAAGGCAAAAATTCAAAGAAAGTTAAAGCTTAAAAACACTGCAGAGAAGGGCTCCCCCAGGCCTGGCAGGCGGCGGGCTGGCTTACCGGGCTGTCGAGGAGGCCCTGGGGCTGCGGCCTGGCCACGTGGCGGAGCTGCGCCTCCAGCCTCTGGATCTCCTGCTGGAACTCCTCACGCTCGTGCTCCCGCTCTGCGGCCTGCTCCTGGGAAGAGAGGCGGCATATCAGGGGCGTCCTGTGGGGACGCGTGTGGCAGGCTGCACATGCACCCACCGGCCCAGCAGCTCAAAGGAGGCTGTAAAACACTGACGACGTCTTGAGCCCCATGCACAGAAGACAAGACACAGCAGAGCAGATGGCAACGTCCAAAGGGCACGACGCTGCACAGACACCTCCCAGGGCGCAGGGCCACAACCCGATTGCCGGGGACTCCTCCTAGGGCTGTAGGAAGGAACGTGGGCCTGCACGTGGCGAGGGCATCCCTCAGAATCCTCCCCCACCAAACGTGGATGATGTCCAAGGCGCCAGCCAAGAGAGTTGGACACTCGTCCCCAGCATCACATCCCAGGAGCTTATTTAATGACCTGGAAAGAAGTTCATGCTATAATGATGACTTTTAGTGATGCAAATAAAATTTATTACTCAAAATTCTTACATCCATGAAATGCCGCTGGTTGCGCAAGTGCTTGTCCAGAGAAGCCATCTGCTGCTTTAGGGCTGTGACTTCCTCAGCCTGCCTGGCACAGCCTTGATGCTGAGAGAGCTGCTCCTCCAACTCGCATTCCAGAACCTTCATCTGGGAGAGCAGGGCCACGCGGTCCTTCTCAGACTGCTTCCTCGTCTCCGACTGCTCCCTGGTCAGACACTCCACTTCCTTGCGAAGCGCTAACGATGCAAAGAAAACAGACGTGGAGAAAACCCGCACACCCCAGAGGCTACCTGAATTAGACAGGGAACAGGAAACATGCATTTCCTAATGGTGACACTAAACAGAAGAGAACCCTGACCTCCACAGGGTCTGCTGTGGGGCCCAGGAAGGAGGAAACACCGCGTTCAGCGCCCTGGAGGGCAGCGTTGGAGCGCAGGACGCTTCCATGCCTCACCCCTCACCCCTCAGAGATGCGAGCTCCTCCCCTTCCTGAGACCATGCAGGGATGTGACAGTCTTGGGGGCGTCCCTGTACCCCAGAGCCAGCGCAAGCCCACGCCCATCATGCACCAAGCCTGCATCCTGGCATATCCACGATTCAGTCAAATACCCACTGAAAATAAAGTCAAATAAATTACTTTTTTTTTTTAGAGACAGGGTCTTGCTCCGCTGCCAGGCTGGAGTGAGTGCCACAGTCACAGCTCACTGCAGCCTCCAACTCCTGGGCTCAAATGATCCTCCCACCTCAGCCTCCCAAAGTGCTGGGATCACAAGCACGTACCACCACACTCAACTCAAATTACTTTTGAAAAAATAAAAAGTATGTCTTTTAAATGAAAATTAGCTAAAAGAAAAAATGTTTAAAGCCTGAGAAGAATATGTTTAGGTGCTCTCAAGTGATGTATTAGGTAATTTTCCAGGGATTATATCTTCACATATATTCTCTAATACAGAAAACTGTAACTTCAAACCCCCACCCACGTGAACACGATCTCAGTTACGCCCGGGGTGGAGGCTCATGGCAGATGCATTCACATCACTGAGAGCCCAGGGCTGGCGTGGCTTGGAGAAAAGCGTGCAAGCAATTAGTAATTCAAAAGCAAATCTAAAACTGGATGGGTGCTGCAGTTTAAACTTCTCTCCCCTACAAAACGAGTGTTGAAATCTAATTGCCAACATGATGGTCTTAGAGGTGAGGCCCTTACGAGGTGATTAGGCCAGGAGGGCCCCACACGCATGGCTGGGTTTAACGCTTAGTGAAAGGGCTTTGGGGAGTGGGCCCTCCTGCCTCTGCCACGGGAGGACCCAGCCGGCCTCCCCTCCCGCTCCCCTCTGGGGAACTCCATGTGCAAGGCACCCTCTCGGAAGGAGAGAACGGCCTTGCCAGAACCCAAGCCTGCAGCGCCCTGAGGGCAGGCTTCCACCGATCTGCGGGCTACACAGGACCCAGGTGTTCTGGGACGGCCTAGCCCAGGCTGAAACCACAGAGGAACAAGGTCCCGAAGGAAAGGGCTTGCTGCTGCTGAACCCTGAACTGTTCGAACCACCCAAAAACTGAAATTTAAATTGACAAATTTTTATTTACATTTCACTAGCTTTCAAAATTTGATTGTTTTTATTTGTAAAAATTGACAATCCTTTAAGACAAGCTATCCTTGCCATTGACGCAGCATTCTCAATAAACATCCATGCTAAGAAGCCGGCAGTTACAGTAAATCAGCCTGGAATGCACGGTTGTGACACGGCACCCACCATCTCTGAGACTAACCAGGGCCCGCGGCTGAGTGCTGTCCCAGTCAGCGCTCCCGGTCAGGAGACAGACGGGCTCCTGCCAGGCCCAGACACCACCACCCTCGGGGCCACGCCAGAGGCGCCAGGCTCTCAGCATGCTGGGCCCCAGGGGAGCACAGCCTGAGGCCGAGGTGGCAGAAGTCAGACCAGGCAGGGGCTCCAGGGGGGCCCGGGACCCCCGGACACCTTCCAGGAGGCCCAGAGCAGTGACCCAGCCCCCGAACAGCCACAGCTACCACAGAACACCAGTTCCTGCAAATCAGCACAGCTTAGCAACTGTCATAAACACGGTTAGACAAATGCTTGCATTTTGCTGGAGCATTAAAATGGAAAACTTTGCCAATTTTTATGGATTAATACTGAAGATTATAGTTTGATTTTATTTGTTTGCCCCAAAAGCTCTTAAGTACTTTTCCTCTTTAGGAAATAATTTGAAAAATCTAACGCAAACACACACACCACACAGAAACACCCGTTTGTTTCACAGACCTGGATCCTCGTGTGCTACAGCAACAGGTGCGCCTACGAACGAAAACGCATGGCACTTACTGAGGCGGAAGCAGAGGAACGCGTGACCAGAACGTGCAAGTCAGAAACGAAGAGGAGTGCCGGCCCCGACAATCCTGAAACTCCTGCGTCTCCACAACACCATCTGCCCTGTGTGCTACAGGTCCTGCCTCCCACGGGCTTTAGCAGCAATTTTTAAAGGAGACAAAACAAGCACGACAGGCACCACCCCAAAGACAGCCGAGAAACATGCTGCACAGCTAAGAGGGGCCACGCGAGGCAGAGACAAGGCCGGGCCGGAGACTCCCGCGGAGTCGGTCGACAGTCACAGGACCACGCAGCAGGCCCCTCGTGGAGGCCCATGGCTGGTGGCCGGGGCGGCCATCAGCGTGAAAGGGGCATGAACGCGTCCCCAGGTGGGAGCGCAGAACTACGAGGACAGGGCGAAGGGAAGGAACGGAGAACAGAGTGAGAAACCGAGGCAGGTTAAAAATGTCAGAGTGGGAACAAACCAAGAGGACCCCAGAGAAATGACGAGAATGTCCCAGTGACAGAACAAAGTGAAGGGGGGACACTGGCCTAAGACCAGGAAGGGCCCCGTGAGACCCACTCCTGCCACACCAGGCATCTGCCCCTGCGGGAACACATTGTAAACCCCAGCTGCAGCCCTGGCACCCATGAGCCCAGCCCTGCCAGGGGCACCAGCTGTGGGTGCCCAGGGCCTACGTCCACCCGCCACGGCCCCCTGCTAGGTCAGGCCTCGCTGCAGGGGACCAGAGACAGGCGTGGGAAGCAGCCGCGGCCCCAGCTCCGTGAGCAGAGCCCAGGTGCACTGGTGCCTCACGAGGCCACCGAGCGGCAGGGCCGGTCCCACATCTGTCGCAAGTGCCAGCTCTGAAGAGGCGAACAGGCTGGAAGTCCAAGTGTTCACAGCAGCAAGGCGCTGGGTGGTCTCCACCAACGGGGTGCTCGGCTGCCCACGGGCCGAGATGCGATGCCGGGCCCTGCACAGGGAAGGTCGTCCGCTGGGAAGGGGCGGTCCATTAGGAGTGTCCCACAAGGACAGAAAAGGGTGAGCGGAGAGAAGCATCTGGAGAAACAACAGCCGACAAAACAAGATACCAGAGCTCGGACTCAACGAGTGCGGCGTGGAGAGCTCGCCCCGGACAGTGCCGGGCACAGCATAGGAGGGGATGTCGAGGACACCCACAAAGAGCCAAAGGCGCAAGGAAAGGACGGCTCACAGCCCGGAAGCGTTCAGGGCAAAGAAACAGAATCTAGCGCTGTGTGTCCAGCCACAGCTTCCCGGAAGGATCCTGGTAAACTAAGGAGACTTTCTGGCGCTCACAGCCACAGACGGGTTTCCCCAAACGGCCCCTCTGGAAGCACCATGTCCACAGGGCACGTGCCAGCACCTGCACATGGTGGGCAGACACTGCGGGCAGAACCGCATGTGGCAGAGGGAGGTGAGGGGGACGCCAGGTGGGCATGGGACAAGGAAAACACAGAAACGGGCAAGAGCAGATCCGAGGGCCGTAGCACCGTGGACAGAACGTGGCTGAAAGGACAAGAAGACACTAGTGGACGGGCTTTCTAAAAAGTCAATACAGCATCCATGAGAGACACAATTAAAGGTATAAAGACTGAAGACAAAGGGACGAAGAAAGATACACAAGGGAAAAGAGCCAGGCCAATGTTTCAACAGAAATTTACATCAAAACCTGACAGCAGGACAGGGGGCATCGCAGAGACAGAAGAGGGAGCGAGGGCAGCGCCTGGGGCCGAGCTCCAGTGCCCGTGGACAGAAACAAGGACTTCACCACAGGACACCCCTCGGGTTACAGAAATCACAGCTTGGGGGACCCGAACATCAACGCAAGCGCCACAGGCCGGGACCAGCAGGTGATGTAAAGACACCAACCCGCCTCCTGCAGGAAGGTGACAGGCGCTCGTACCACCAGCCCCGGCGCAGGAAGTAGCAGCGAGGAACAGCAAAGCAGTGATCGGTGAAACAGGACAGAGAGAGGAAGAAGACTAACAAAACCAACAGCTAGTTGTTTAATAAAAGAGAAAATCAAAAAGAATAAAGAACTTCTGAAAAGAAAAATGGGGTTTTTCTGCATCGGTTGGGTGGTGCACGCAGCGAGCGAGGCTCTGACACACAGCACGGGCTCCCTAGGACTTCCTGCTCCACGGACCACGCTAAAGGCGACAGAAACGCACAGCCCCTCCCACGCTGGCGGGGGAAACAGCAGGCCGTGCACGCGCCAGCCTGGGAGAAGCCTCTGTGCAAACACGGTCACCTTCAAACTCAGCATTTTAAGCTTCTTATGTTTTGACCATTTTCATTTTAAATATTTTTAAGACTAAAATATCTAAAAGTCTGAAGATATACAGATTACTTTTGCTAAAACTGTATGTTTTCCTAATTAGGGTTAGCATCAGGCCCCTTGTTTTTGTAAATAAAATTTGAAAGTGGCCTCGCTCAGGGTATCGGCCATTTGTCCCCCGCGACTGGTGGTGTTGTCGCACCTGCTCCACCCCCAGGTTCTGTCTACCTCGCGGTGCAAACCAGGACAGTCGCCGCCTCTAAGAAGGCAGCAGACGAGCGGGCGAGAGGGCGCGTGGTCCAGCACGACCTCCCCAAAGCCCAGTGTCTCACACAAAAGATCCCTTCTGAAGAGTGTCTTTGTTTTTGCATTTTTACCCTCTGGGAACGTCGCACTTCCGCAGAAGTTGGGGATCGGCCGCTGCCGTGCCCCTGCGGACGCGGGCTCCTCACCTGCCTCTCGCTCTTCTGCTTCCCCCGCAGCAGCTTCCTTCTGGCTCCACAGGAGGGCGTATTCCTCCCTCAGCGACGCCTGCTCCCCGGCCGCCTGCGTGAGCTGCTGCCTCAGGCCCTCCAGCTCCAAGACGAGCTGCCGCTCAGACTCCTCCTTCCGGCCCAGCGCCTCCTGCAGATCCGCCTTCTCCACCTTCAGTCCCTCCAGGATGCCTGAAGGGGAGACCAGCGAGACAGAGGTGACTCCCAGAGCAGCAGGAGGCGAAAGGCTGTGGTCCTGCAGGGGGCAGGCGTCTGCCCAGGGACCCGGGGCTGAGCCACTGGAGGAGCAGACGCAGGCCTGACCCCAGCGGAGGGGGAGACCCAGACAAGGCCAGACCTGTGTGGAGCTATGTCAGCGACCTTACAGCGCCGGTGGCCGCCCGAGCCCTGCCTGCCACAGAGCCCCGAGGGGAAATCCCAGGTAAGGTGCCCGCCCAGAACCTGAGGGTCACGAGTAGCATTGAGGGTGCCTGCTTGGGAGGACCCAGCCACCACTCCCCTGGCCGGTGGACGCGTGCACCCACCCTGCCACGTGTGACACCCGGGGCCCGTCTGCGCCCATAGCAGCACTGACTCCCCAGAGCCACCCCTTCCTCCCAATTGCGACTGTTCCACTGCAGGAAATCTCTGCTGCCTCACGCTGTCCGCATTATTTTATGTTTACATTTTGCTTTTTAGATCCCATTCCAGGCACCTGGAGCCCAGCAGCTGCCGCTCACCCTCAGCCGTGTGCAGCTCCAGCTCCAGCCCGGCCTTGGCGGCGCTCTGCTCCTCCAAGCACGCCAGCAACTCCTTGTGCTTCCTAACGACCTGCGCCGTCTCCTCATTTTTACAACTGAATTCTTTTTCAAAACGAGAATGGATTTGTTGTGCTTCCTCCAGCTGTTAAAACACATTTGAAAATCAGAACTGCGTGTCAAAAATAACCAAAGCTTGTAGAGATGTCAACAGAACTCTCCTTCCAGCCCCAGGCTCCTTGGGCCATCCCCACAGGTGAGGCCAGGGCAAGGCGACGGGGCCAGAGGGGCCTCGGCCACCCTACGGATGCCACGGGCCACGGCGAGCAGAGGCCCTGTCCCTCCTGGGCCTTCTCCTCCCAGCACGAGCCCAGTCAGGGCTTCTAGGCTGAGAGGTCAGGTCAACCTGAGAACTCAGGACATCGACGCCCAGCCGTCCCCACAGATGCCCTAGCACCTGCCTGGGCCTCCCTCGGCCTCCCACCAGTTGGCGCTTGGCGTCCAGACCCAGCCTCTCGGGAAACCTGCCGGCTCCTCCTTGACAATGGCCCCTCGGCTGCCCCCCTCACGCTGAGCCGTCACCTTCTCCAGAACACCCCCACCTGTAGCAAGGGCGGCCCTGCCCAGCCCCCTCTGATCCTCCCACGCTGGATTCAGGCAGGCCAGGTCCCCAGCAGAGGGGCCTCCCAAGCTCCTCACATGACACACCCCATGTGGGGCAGGGCCTCCAGGCGCGAGCTGGCTCGGACGTCCCAGACACGGCCCTGCCCGTGACGCCTCGGAGAGGTCTGCTTGCGTTTGATTACACGGGAGACAGAGGCGTCAGTTCCTTGTCAGATCTGCCCAACGTGACCTTCCTCAGGAGAGAGGAAGGCACGGAGGGACACTTGGGAGCACAGGCGGTGGCAGGAGGCAGGGGCTCCAGGCTCCGCTCCCAGAGGGGCGCGTCTGCCAACCCGAGGAGGAAAAACCCACTCAGGTGTTTCTGAGAACTGGACTGCAGCGCTTCACATAAAAATGCTTATTTTTAACTAGGCTGACTTTGGAAAGAAGACTCTCTCGTTGCTTTCCACATATTCCTATTTAACATCTTTTTTAATTGTTTGAAATGTTCTAAAAAAGTTAACAAATATAATACCCTTTCTTAGTGAGAATCTCTAAATATGAAAACGCTCAACGAGGAATCGCAATTGCGCACAAAATGAAGGAAAAGCAGATTTGCGTACTATTTGAATCACACAAACTGAGGCTCTAATTCTGTTCACAGCGAGCTCCCTTCCTCAAGAATTCTGGTTCAGAAAAGGCCCTATTTAGGGAAAAAGACATATCTATCAGAAGATAGTCGGCAGGAACAGAAGGTCAAAATCGATGCCAAGGGAGGTGAACGAGCTCCCCAGAAACGTGGCGCTTCTGTCCCCAGATGCCTCAGGGGGAGGCAACAGAGGGTTCCGGGAGCCAGGTCCACACTCCCAGCTGCACGGCTGGGGTGAGCCCTGAACATCGCATGGGCAGCCAGCAGCGTGCGTGGCCGTCGCGACAAGGCCGGCGTCCACCACGCCCGTTAAGTCATCAACTATTTGGTCCGTTCACCTCTCCACATGCCTCCGGCCTCACCTGCCTGGTGGAGTCCAGCACCATCTCCAGGAGGCCGTCCACAGCGAGGCCCAGGCTCCGGTAGACTCTCCTGACTGTCTGCTCACACCCCAGCGCGCTGTCGGGGCTCATCAGGAAGCTCTCGCGTACGTGACTGCTGACCTCGGCCGCGGAGGACATCTCCGCACACTCAGACACGGTCCTGTCCACCTCCAGCAGGGCCGCGTCAGACCACGTCTCGTCAAGTGTTGGAGCTACAAATGGAGCACACAGACATGAACACACACTGCAGAGTGAGCAAGCCGCATGCCATGACAGCGTTAGCCAGGAACGACAAACCCCCGCAGGAATAAGGGGCCCCTCCTGAGCAGGGCACAGCAGTGCCTGTGGCAAGCCCTCCGTGGACGGTCCTCAGCCTTCTCTAGGGGTTGGCGGGAACCGTGACCAGCTACAAACACGTTCTAACGACCCTCTGGGTTCCGTGACCTGTTCTCACGTGGATTTGGCTCTCAGGCCAGCAGGGCTTGTAGCCAGAACCCCGAAACTTTCGACTAATGACGGGACCTTTCTGAGTTTTCCCAGAAGTGGCGGAATCTCTGCGGGACAAGGAGCTGAGGCTCTGCAGGCCCTGGACACACCCCCAACACTGAGACTTGCCATCCCCCGCAGCCTGCCCCCACGTCCGCGGCAACTCCTTCAAAAGCCCATATTCTCCTTTAGTCAGGGAGACGGATTTGAGGCTGATTCCTCATTCTCCCAATAGATAACTTTCATATTTTAAAAATTCCTTTCTTCCTAGGCAATCCCTGGCTCAACAACTGGCTCTTTGTGCGGTGAGCAGCTGGACCCAGGCAGAAACCCCTCTGCGGTTTTGACAACAGAAAGAGCATCCCCAGTGTGGCTGCCCCTGACTGAGCACCAAACCCCTGCAGGGGCTGCAGGCACAGGGCAGGGGGCCTGGCACACTCACCTGCTGGCAGGGCCTGGCCCGCACCTGTGGCACCTGCATCGTCCAGGCAGAGCCCCACACGCTCTCCAATCTGGCTCCTCAGGGCGACGGCTGCCTTCAGGGTCTCTCCAAACAAGGCCAGCAGCCTCTTCAGGGCGTCCTGGAGAGCCCGCCTAGCACGGGAAAGTCCAGTTACACATGCCTGTGGGAAGCCCTCCCCTGGACAAGGCACGGAGCCGCCACTGGCCAGAGGCCCACGAGGGATGCAAGAGCACCTGCCGAGCACATGGAGACCCTGAGCACGCAGGGCCGGAGACATGGACCCTCGGGAAGCTGTGACAAGCAGGAGCCCTTTGGGGCTGGCTCCAGTGGTGCTAGAAGGCAGCAGAACTCCCTGCTGCTGCTTGTTATTTTTAAAAGACGCTGTCTTAGTAACTTAAGCGTGTCCTGGGGGCTGCGTCCAGCCGGCCGGTGTGCTCTGGGGCACCCAGAGCCTGAGCTCATCGGCTCCTCTGGGGCCTTCTGCTCGGCTCTCTCGGAACACGGGCTGCACAACTCTGTCGTTTCACAAGATGTTTGTCCAGAAATCCAGAGTCACGCTAACACACTCGTGCACACGAAAGCTCAGCTGAACTGGGCCCCCTGCAGCGCAGCCCTGACGAGGAAGCACGTCTGCCCCACCTCTCTGGCATTGTACGAATGTAAAGAGTTTGAATGTCTTCTGGTCTTTCTGGTCCCAGAATCAGAAGTCCCCTGCACCTGGCCCTCTGCATGTTCTGGAGCCACCTGCCCTGCCGGGACGCCTCTGTCCAAGGCTTGGTGACTCCACTGAGGACAACCTGCTGTGCAGCCCACGTGGCCCATCCCTCCCTCCTACTCACCCCTCTGCTGGTGGCCAGGAGCCAAACCCCAGACCCTGCTAGCCAGCCCCATCTGGGCAGACACGGGGCAGGGGCCCAATGGAGAACGTGCCCTGGCCATGACGCCTGCTCTCCAGCGCCGTGCACAACACCTGCAGGCCCCCGGCATCCCCATGCCCAGGGCCACTGGAACCGCCACGTCCCACAGTGACTCAGGACACTCAAGGCATCTACAGACAAGTGCTAGAAAATGCATGGGAGATCTTCACGAGGAAAGCGTGAAGCTTTATGAAAAGAATGAAAAGACCTATACAGAGACCTTTGCATGAGGACCAGAAACCGCAGCATGATAAAGATGCTGACGCCCCACAAACTAAGCTGGGGACTGAGTGAGTCTCATTACCTCCGACCTGGTTTCTCACCACCTTGATGGCTGCACACGCGGGGCAGGTGCCTCCAGCCGCTGTGGTTGGGGGGAAATCGAGCCCACCAGGTCCAGGACTTAGAACAAGCAAAGCCAGGAGATACTGGGGTGGAGACAAGCTGACAAAAATAGCAGAAGGAGTCCAGAGAAAGACCTGCCCCAGCAACCCCACCTGCAGGGAGGACAGGCACACCTGGGGAGGACAGGCGCACCTGGGGAGGATAGGCGCATCTGGGCAGGACAGGCACACCTGGGGGAAACTGTGGTTTCCAACATGGAGCTGAACCAACTGCTCTGCCAGACAGGTAAAAACAAGAGAATCTCCTGACATCAGACACAAATAAACAACTGCAGAGTTCCAGGCACCTCTGGACATGCCCAGAAAGCAAAGCTGCAAAACGCGGCAACACGGGAGGACCCTGCATGGGTCGAGTAGGAAACTGCTGTCTTAATAAGACCCCACAGGACAAAGGAACAGCTGGGTCCACAATGCAGCATCGAACCGCAGGGGAGGGTGCCCAGGACCAGCCCCTGGACACGCAGAAGCTCACACTCCCTGGGGGAGACTGGGCCCCTGCAAAAAAGGCCTGGGCTGCGCAGCTCCCAGAGAGACAGCGTGGCAGCGTGGTGAGCAAACGCCCATGCCAGTCTGGGAGCGCCCGTCAGCAGGTCCCCATGCACAGGTGACCCCCCCAGACGTGCATGGGTGCGTGCAGGACACAGGGCGTCCTCCAGTGGGGCTGCGACACCCACACGTGAGTCTCCACAGCGGAGAAACGAAGGGACCGGGCTACAGCCACCTCATGGGCCAGTCTCAGACACATGGCAGGTCACAGGGGACGTGTGCCACACGACAGGCGCACAGAGCCCACCGGCGGGCAGCTGCCTTTCTGTGAGCTGCGCACCCGCGCCTCTGTGCTGGGATGAAGACACGTCGTGGGGACACCAACACCAGGGAGGGGGAGGTTCAAGCGGCAGTGAGGACTGCAGAGCGGCATCGTGGCTGACAAGGACACGGACCTTTCGCTCTGGGACAGGTCGACGTCAGCCTTGAGCATGGAGATGAGGTTCTCGCCCTCCTGGTTCTCCCTTTCACGCCTTTGCTGCAGCGTCTCCAGTTCAGAACGGCTCTCTTCCACCTTGTGGCTTAAGGATAAAACTTGTTCTTCCAGCTGTTGAGAAAAAGTTTTCAAGCTTTAGTTAAAAATAGGCCAGGTGTAGTGTCGCACACCTGTGGTCCCAGCTACTCGGGAGGCCAAGACAGGAGGATCACTTGAGCCCCGGAGTCTGAGGCTGCTGTAAGATTTGATGACACCACCGCACTCCAGCCTGGGTGACAGAGCGAGACTCTGTCTCTAAAAAAAACAAAAACAAAACACACACACAAACAATTCACTTAAAAATAAATGGCTGTAGGGACTTTCAACATAACTTTTATCATTGCAGACAGTTCCCAACTTTAAACGGTTTGACTTAAAACTTTTCAACTTTACAATGGTTCGTACGTGCGCTCCTCAACTTTCGATATTTTCACCTTGTGAGTCTGCACATCCATTAAGAATATGGAGAAAAGTGAACAAGGTGGTGATTAAAGATAAAAATTATTAATGTGGTTTTTCCTCCGTTATTCGTCACTTACAAAAAAGGAATGAACAACCCCAGCCGATACCTGCCACCAGGGGAGGACGGGGCAGACTCACCAGAGACTTGTCTCACCAATAATAATTCAAAATAAAATCACTGTATCTGGTCACTACAGCAAACACCAGCTGCCAGGCAGACAAAGACCTTCCTACCCATTTCTCTCTAAGGACAGAATGAACCGACGCCTGCGGTGTCCTGGCAGCACCAGCCGACCCACGAGCTCCCCAAATCTGCTGCGGCAGCGCGCGGGCATGGTCACACCCTCCTCGGGGACCACGGCTGGGGCAGCACAAGGACGGGGACGGAGAAGCCCCACGCCACGACCCTGCCGGCTCGCTCTCTCCAGGACGAGCGGGAGCCACCGCGCGGGGTGGGAGGACAGACGAGAACGTTGGACAGTGCAAGAAGACAACACGCCAGAGGAGAGTGTGAGTTTGCAATCGGTTCATTACAGGGAACAGTAGACAACTGTGAACACAGCTTCAATGGTGTCCTCAGAGGAAAAACAGAAAAAAATACAGATTCTACAAAACCACTGGCTAACTCAGACTAAGACACACAGGCTGGGAAAATTAAAGGAAATGGAATAAATAGGGAATTTCCAGTTTCAAGATGGCAAATAATGACCAAAAGAGACACAGAACATGAACAGTCTATCCCAAAATGCTGCAGCACACGGACGGCCCTGTGGCTGGGGCCCAGTGGGGGCCACCGCGACAGCCGACTCTGCTCAGAGAGCCCCTGGGAGCGCTGACACCTGGCTGGCCCTGTGCCCGCCTGCTGCACATGCAGAACACCACGGCCTGGCCACGTGGGTGACAGCAGCTGCACGGGCCGCGCCCACCAGGCCACTCCCCTCCCGCATCCCTCCCGCAAGCCGTTACCCCACTTCTCAAAGGTAAATTGCTATATCAACTTTACAATTTCTTAATTCAGAATTTAACATTTCTTTTTAACTGTGCTAATTCTTTCATCAGAACTGATATTGTTTTTGTTGGTACTTACGTTATAAAACTGCATGGGTTTGAGCGGGATACTTTTAACTTTGTTGAGCCCACGAACCATGTTATTTTTTGTGTTTTTTACAGAATAAGAAGCTTTTTAGGAATGCGTTTATTGTATCATAGAAGAACTGTCTGTTACGTTGAAGAAAACATCCAAGGAACACTTGGAAAGGCCCTTCTCCCTCGCAGAATGCCCGCCGGGCCTCCGCGAGGCTGCCGCGCCCCTGCCCGGCACCCTCCTCACCCCGGGCTCCTGCCCCGCACAGGAGGGCTTCTGCCTGCTGCCCTGGCCCTTTGGGAGAGAGCAGTCCACGTCCTACCACAACACTCTGCCGCTCCATCGTCATGGAGCTTTGGGAAATTCACAGAACCTCTCCCGCACCTCAGCATCTGAGGCGTCTGTACGATGGGCAGGAGAGAACTGCACAGAATGAGGAAGCCGCAGCGCTCAGCACGGCACCCTGCACGCGCCACCTCCAGTTACTGCACTAGAAAGCGCCCATCCAGCGGCGCTGCATGACGTCAGGTCACAGCGCTGGCACTCCTCTGACGGACCTGCACAGTGGGCTTCTCTACAAACGGTAGGGACACACATCTGCACCTTCAAAGTGACACAGGACAAGTTACCAACAAAAACCAAACGACCTGATTCAAAATGGGCAAAGGACTTGAACGGACGTTTCTCCAAAGATGATACACAAGTGGCCAATAAGCGCTTGAAAGATGTTCGACGTCACTAATCATGAGGGAAATGCAAACCAAAACCACGAGATACCACCTCACACCCCCAGGACGGCTACCACCATAAAAACAACAACAAATGTTGGTGAGGACGTGGAGAAACTGGACCCTTGCGCAGTCACTGTGGAAACCGGTTTGGTGGCTCTTCAAACAGTTAAAACACAGAGTTGCTATATGGTCCGGCAATTCCATTCCTAGCCACACACCAAAAAAAATTAAAAGCAGCAATCAAACAGATACTTGTACAGAAGTTCCGTAGCTGCATTATGCGCAGTATCTAAAAGGTGGAAATGACCTCAGTGTCCACCAACAGATGAGAGATAAACAAAACGTGGGTCTGTGCACACCAGGGAACATCACTCAGCCATGACATGGAATGAAATTCCAGCGCAGGCTGCAGCCTGGAGGAACCTTAGGGACATTACGCTCAGGGAAGCGAGACAGTCACAAGAAGACAAGGCCTGTGTGATTCCACTCACAGGAGGCCCCGGAATAGCCAAGACCTGGAGACGGAAAGCAGAACGGTGGGTGCCAGGCCAGGGAGAGGGAAGAGTGGGCAATTCTCGTTTAACAGGGACAGGGTTTCAGTGACACCGTGAACATACTTCATGACACTGAATGTACACCTGAAAATGGTCACATGATAAATTTTATGTCATACATCGCTCACCATCAAAACAGCAATAATGAAGAAAAGGCATGGTGCACGTACCTGCTGGATTTGGTCGTCCTTCTCCTGAAGCTGCAGGGACCAAGATTCCTTCTCCTTTCGGCAGAGAGCCTGCGCCTGCTCGCCCTCAAGTCCACAGGTCTCCTGTTTTGCATGCAGAGCAGCTTTCTTTTCACTTTCAAATTCACCCTGTACACATTAACAATAACAAAAACACCATTAGGCTAGACAATTACGCTTATTCCATTTCTCTGTTGTGAGCTAGAATTGAGCACATTCAGCAGATATCCACAGAGTCCCACTCACACCAAGAGCAGGGATAACACAGACCGAGGCTGCTGACTGCGGCGAACGCGCTTCAGGTGAGCTTACTGGAGAATGGGGGAGAAATTCTCCTTCTGGGGGGCAGCACACCAAATGGGGCAGCAGCTTGCACTGGCGACAGCTCTGTGTGATGAACAGCTGGCTACCTCTCCCAAACAGTGACTGGGGTCATCTCCAATAGACTAAGAAATTCACCATTGTCAGGGAATCATGACCACGAAAATCCAGGATTTTTAGAAACCTGGGTTCCTTCAGTTTTAAAAGATAAACCCTCTTTCTCCGTCAGAACAAGCAGCCTTGGGGTGACTGGACTCGCCCAATCCCACCCTTCCTCTCCAATCTCCGCGGCAGCCCTGAAAACCAGTAGCCACTGGTGGGGGACAGAATGGGCTCGGAGCACCCCCATTCTCAGGGCTGGTCTTCCGCAACCTGAGCAGGAGTTTGCTGCGCACCAACAGCTCTGTCTCCAGCTGCTATGCTGAAGACGATCCGTGGCAGCTGTTCGACACCACAGCTGCCTGCGATGGAGACGCCAGCGGGGACTACTCAGAGCCGACCAAAAACCTTAAAAAGAAACATCAGAGAATGAGATGTCCACAGGGGGCTTTGAAAAGCTCCAGCATATTCTGGGGATCCGGAAGGCACAAGCGTGTGCAGGGCAGCGTCCATGCCAGGAGAGACCTGCGGAGGCCCCGGCTCCCGCTTCGGCTGACCCTGCTGCTCTGCGCGAGCAGGAAGCGAGGGCCAACGCGGGGCTGCAAACCGCCTGCTGGGGCACTGAGGGCAGCCCCCACAGACACAGCCCCTGGGGAAGAAATAAAAGTGATAAAATAGAACTAGCTGGATACTCGGGAGCTGAAAAGCACAATTACTGAAGAGAAAACTTCACTGGGGGGCTCCACAGCAGATTCAAGCAGGCAGAAGAAAGAATCGGCAAACGTGAGGACAGGTCAGGTAACATTATCCAGACTGGGGGTGGAAAGAAAAACGAAGAAAAGCAAGTAGAGCCTCTGAGGCCTGTGGGGCGCCCTCCAGCCAACCCACACACATGACACGGGAGCCCCTCAGGGAGAGGAGAGCAGGAAAGGGGAAGAAAGAATGCTTGAAGATAGAATGGCCCAAAATGCCTCAAATTTGATGGAGAAAAATTAATCTATGCATACAAGAAGCCCAATGAACTCAAAGTAGGAAAAACTCAAAGAAAGAGATCCTGAAACCTATGCGCATCATGACCAAACTTTTGAAAGACAGAATCTTAAGAGCAGCGATTCACCCACCGGACCCTCGGTGGGGCCGACAGCCGACTTGCGTCAGAAGCCAGAGCCGAGGCAGGGGGGCAGCACGTCCAAAGGACTGAACAAAAAGACTGAGCACCAGGAATTCTATTTCCAGGACATTATCTTTCAAAACTGAAAAGGAGGCCAGGTGTGGTGGCTCACATCTGTAATTGCAGCACTTTAGGAGGCCAACGCGGGAGGATCACTTGAGGCCAGGAGTTCAAGACCAGCCTGGGTAACATATCGAGACCCTGTCCCCACAAAAAAAAAAGTTTAAAAACGTTTTTTAAATGAAGGCAAAATTAAGACAGTCCCAAAAAAACAAAAACTAAAAAAATTTATCACTAGCAAGCCTGTCCTATAAGAAATACTAAAGGGGGCCGGGCGTGGTGGCTCACGCCTGTAATCCTAGCACTCTGGGAGGCCGAGGCGGGCGGATTGTTTGAGCTCAGGAGTTCGAGACCAGCCTGAGCAAGAGCGAGACCCCGTCTCTACTAAAAAAAATAGAAAGAAATTAATCAGACAACTAAAAATATACACGAAAAATTAGCCGGGCATGGTGGCGCATGCCTGTAGTCCCAGCTACTCGGGGGGCTGAGGCAGGAGGATTGCTTGAGCCCAGGAGCTTGAGGTTGCTGTGAGCTAGGCTGACGCCACGGCACTCACTCTAGCCCAGGCAAAAGAGTGAGACTCTGTCTCAAAAAAAAAAAAGTACTAAAGGGAGTCCTTCAGGCTGAAATAAAACGACCCTAGGTAGTAACCTGAATCCACCGGAAGATGTAAGAGTACCAATAAAGGTAACTGCACAGATAAATATATAAGACAAAATAATTGTGGTTTGTGTAACTCTTTTTTCTCCTATCTGATTTAAAAGACAACTACATAAAGTGAAGAGCATAAAATATACAAAGATGTACTTTGAATGACAATATTAGCACAAAGGAGGGAGGAGGGAATGAAGCTATATAGGCAAATTGCTTTGTAAACGATCAAAAAACTAAGTTGGGGCCAGGCACAGTGGCCACACCTGTAACCACAATGCTTTAGGAGGCCGAGGTGGAGGACGCTTGAGCACAGGAGGACTTCAAGGGTGCAGTGAGCTGTGATCACACCCCTGCACTCCAGGCTGGGTGACAGAGCAACACCCTGTCCCTAAAACATAAATTAAAATAAAATTAATTTGGTATTAATCTAAACCAGACTGTTATATTTACTGTAATGCCTGGGGCAAGCACTAAAAAAAAACTCTCAAAAAAATAAATAGTAGTCCCTCCTGATTTGTAGTTTCATTTCGACACCCAGGAAAAGGCAACCCCACAATGCCCACGATAAATCACGATTAATAGCAGAGCTGGAAACCGCAGTGGGGGGGCTCCCTGGGCCAGACCCACGTGGCGCCCTCAGCATCCACCTGCAGGTCCCCGGCAGCCCTGTGCTCACCCAGCCAAGAAATGACGTGGCCAGAGTTCGGAGGCTCACATCAGTGGTTCTTTGAAAACTTTTCTGAACCACAGGGTAGTTTCTTCAGGCAAAAATATTTCACAGAAGCCTAATACACTCCCCGCACTCAGGAGCACAGCCCAGCGGGCCATGGCCACCTCTCTTCCTCTGTGACCTCTGAGCCTTACCAGGCCAATGAGGGGCGGAGGGCAGGCGTACGCAGAACCGAGCCAGGAACGGCCGGCGTGGCCGTTGCTGCATCCCTTCCTGTTTGGGCCCCAGAGGCCCCCAGCAGACAGCATCAGGCCCCGTCTGCAGCTGGGAGCTCAGCTCATCACGTTCCTCAACCTTCACTTTGTTTCAGGAAGAGTTTTAAGGCAGTTCGTGGAGATACAACGTGCACCGAGAAGGCTTGAGTGTGCCAGGATGGCAGCCGGCATGCAGGGTCTCGAGCACCCTCTCGTGCCCCGTGGGGGCCGCCCTGACCTTTCGCCCGAGGGTGGCAGGGACTCGAGGCCCTGTTCTGTCAGGAGCGGCCCTGCATCAGGAGGGCAGCTGGCGCCCAATCTCACAGGCCCAGGCCCTCCAGGACAGCTGGGCAGCTGGCAGGAGCGTGTGTCCCTGGGCCACCCTCAGCCTCCGAGGAGGTTCTACCCCTGCACCCCACAGGGCTCCTTCACCGACAGTCATGTCTGTTCCCACCCTGAAGTAAAACTGTTTCGGTTACCATGTTCTAAATGGTAATGGCAATACAGAAAAGGTGTTTTTAAAAAGTTATTCTCCGGTTTTCCTAAAAACGCACAGTTCAATCATTAAGGAAACATGACATATATGCCTGGAGAAGACAGAAAGTGGGACTGTGCAAAGAAGACTGGCGTGAGGGTGAAAATACGTCCAACGGATAACGACGTAAAGATACTCGGACTACATCTAAGCCAACCACAGGTTCTCGCAACATTTTCAAATATTAAGCTATGAATACATTTGGTTTTCTTATCTAAGAAAAGATAAAATCGCCTTGAGCAACCAATGCTGGTCATATCACAACCTACTTCTGCGTCCCAGAACTCTGCTTAGTGTTGCCAGAGCGGGGGAGACTTCTCAATGGGATACATATTTCGATCAAAAAGAAATCGAGCTTACGTTTTCAGAGAGCTTTTCGCACAACCAAACTCCAAAGGGCAGTCGCCTGGGAAGTAATTCAATCGCCTCACGAGCGAGTGTCCAATGAGCCTGCTGACCAGCAACTCTGCTTTTCAAACAGGTGCAGCGATACTTGAGGCCAGATGAAGTGCGGCCACAGAGGAGGAACAGTGTGTCCCTCCTATTTCGGGACAATGACCCGGCTGGCCTCACGTGACCCGGTCTGCAGGGCAGAGCCTGAGGCCAGGCTGAGAGGAGCGGCCTCCACCCAGGAAGCAGCCCAGCAACAAGCCTGAGGGCCGTGGGCTGTGGGCACGCTCACGGGGAACGAGGGGCCAAACAACAGCACAGGAAGAGGATTTTAAAAGGTCCGGTGCAGAGGAGGCCCCGTGTGGATCCCGATTTGAACAACCAGTCAGGAAGAAGTGGCGCCTGGGCTGGGTATGTGATGAAACAAAGGAATCGCTGCTGGTTTTTTGGTTAAAACAGATCATAGTTGTGTTATCCTGGGGGAAAAACACCTTCCTTACAGACACTGACCTACTCATAGATGAGAACACGTGGTGTCTGGGATTTACTCTAAACACCTGGGAGGAAGGGGCCGGCGCGCTAAGTGTGCCCACCAGACAGTGGGACCAGGGGTTATGAAATTAGTCTACTTCTACACGTGCTGAAATCTTCCCCAACAAAAAATTAACCTAAAATAAAACAGCACATCCCACCGCCCCAAGCCTAATTGGTTTTTCCTGTGAAATCGGCTAGACAGAAACAGTCATGTAAAAGAGTATCTAACACGCACATCCTCAGTAGCAACGTACATGGACAACTTCCTCAAGCGAACTTGCACCACACTAGAAAACTACTTCAAAGACACCCCAGGGCACTCAGGTCACAGTCACCACAGAAGAATTAAGTGCTAAGCAAGAACATAAGACACAGCTTCAAAACGTAAACAGCTCTCTGTGTTACGAACAGATGAAATGGGCAAGAGAAACACACCGACGACTGGGCAGATTTCTTTAGCGACAGTCCTCTGAAAAGGGAGACGACAGAATCTGATTGTTCCAGAGAAGACAGAGGCCTAGAGCACCCTCAGCATGTCGCGGGTCTCAGGGCATCACGAGCCCACCCAGAGCTGTTCCTGCAAACCCGTCTGCGAACCACCCCAGGGCTGAGGCTTCTGCCCCACAGGTAAACTCCAGCCTCCGGGCCTGGAGAAGAGGGCAGCCTTCTCAGGGGACTCACAGGGAACCCACCCTCCAGCCAACGCAGAAGTAGTAGGAACGTCAGTGTTAAGAGCCACCTGGACTTGGAGGTCCTCAGCCCTAAGGTTCTCCAGCTCTGGCCACCTGGCCCCTGTGACGGCCCCTCAGGGCTGCCCTTCAAGGGTCCCAGGAGACCAGGGAGCAATCCCAGAGAACGCCAGCTCCCTCAAACACGGGATAAATCTCATTTTTATGCTTCCCTTTGTTTCTGTAATCTCCTCTAATTCTCATTCTAGGAACTTCCATGTGAATAAACAGTTTAATTTCAGCAATCAGTCATATGTCACATGCAACTGAGAGCAGTAACTGTGAATCTAGTAAATTGAGGTGAACGCAAGAGCCTTATTTTATGGGTTGAAATGAGATATTAGTATGTACTTATTTAAAACACCCCCTACAAATAGTACTTACAAAAACTAATCATCTCAATAGATTTGCACACAGTGCTTCGAATAAAATACAATTATCTATGAAGAGACACAGACTCTTACCCTCCCTCCCAGAAAGACGGGAAGACACTCAGGCCTCTGGGGCGTCCAGCCAGAGTCCTCTGATGGACCCAAGGACGCTCCTGCCTTTGAGGGTGGGATGCAGAACCAAGTGTGTGCCTGCGTCTGCACAGGCTGTGTGTGCTGCGTGTCTGTGTGTGCATGCATTCACGTGTTGTTAAGCGTGGGTGGGTGGGCAGATGCATGCATGGAGACCCTGCTGGAGGAGCCCCATCCACACAGCGTGAGGGCTGGGGACAAGGGCCCTGACCTCAGGGCCAAGAGCAGCTCCAACTGCTTTGCTGACTTTGTTTGACATAATCTGACATAAGTGCTAACAAATATTCTGATGTACCAGATTTAAAAAGTCTGGAAGAAACCACACTCGGCGTAGATCTGCGAAAGGATCTAGGTGTGCTCTGTGTCAACACAAGTGACCACCAGGCTATGCTCATCGTTCTCGTGGGGATGGTGCCTCCAGCTCAGCCTCAGCCTCCACAGGCCACCGTCAACCACGCCCCAGTGCCCAGCAGACACCCTTACCCTGAGCCACGCCTGAGAGGAGCCCGGGGCCTCCCCCTCCCCACCCGTGCCTCCTGGGCTGTGTCCCAGGCCACCAAACCAGCACCACTGCTCCATGGACCACCTCTGCCTGCAACGCAAGGCCAGGGCCTCCCTCCCAAGGCCCCTCCCACAGGCACCTGCCTCTGTTTCTGTCCCATGGGGCCGGGCACTTTGCACAGCCCTCCCCCCACGGAGCTGAGCACAGACCCACAGCACCCACGACCTGCAGCTACCGAGGGTGCCTGCAAGCGTCGTAGCACCGGGGAGGCTCAGAGGGCAAGGGAGCCGGGAGGCAGCCCTGTGAGCGTCGCTTACCCAACAGCCCGCCCCACTCTGCTCACTGCCTCTGCGTCTCAGCCGCGCACACATCTCCAGGCTCCTGTGGGACCCTGGCACCCACCCTGCCCCGGACCACGATCCTCTCGTCCTCCAGCAGGCAGCATGGCGGTCAGCTCCTCCTGTCCAGAGAGCGTCCCACGGCGCTGTCCACAGGGCGCTGCGGCCCCACAACATACGACGTCTGTGAGGAGTTAACCCTTCTACACGCTTCCTACAACTAAGCTTTCCACTACTGAAGTTAAACCACGGCTTAAAACACATTTCATGTGTGAAATGCATGTTCCTCCTTCTTGAATATTCTACTAAAGTTCACTTTCTTTAAGCCAGAGAAACTAAGAAAACATAATTTAAATCCACAGGTTGGGTACAAGTGTTATTCTCCACAGAGCGTTGGCCTGTGAAGCTGGGATCAAGAGGAAACTGAGCTGACATCTTCGCGTCATCCTTCAAAGCAGTGGGACCCACCCATCGGAGGGTGCCGCCCAGCAGTGTCAGATCCCTCTCTAAATTCAGCCCAGAAAGACAAGGCTCTATTCTCTCTCAGGAAGCATGTCCCAAGCCAGGCGTGGTGGTGGCGCCTGTAGTCCCAGCGACTCAGGAGGCTGAGGCAGGGGATGGCTTGAGCCCAGGAGTCTGAGGTCGCAGTGAGCTGTGATGACATCACTGCACTCCAGCCTGGGCCACAGAGTGAGCTCGTCTCAAAAAAAAACAGGCACATCCCCTCACACCTGCCCTGACACAGGACAGCCACTTCCCACTGTGGCGTCAGCTCCGGATCACCCCCGTCGACCCCTCCTGCAGGGGCAGGCCTGGCCCTCCCCGTGGCTCTGGGGCAGCCCCATCCACTTTGAGGAGAGAAAATTCCAGAAACGTGAGTGAAGGCAGAGGATGTGTGAAGTGTGCGTGATGGGACAGGCCCTGCGTCAGGAGAGCGTGGCCTGTGCACGGGTCCCAGACACGGGGCCTTCGCAGGCGGCTCGGACCCTCGGCAGTGAAACTCCTTTCATGCTAACAACTAAAAGTGCTGCCAAACAGTCCAGGCCGCTCTTTAAATGTGACGCTAGGGTCTAATTTCGAGAAACATCAACAGAGAAGACCAAGGCTGTGTACACAGCACAAGAATCAGATCCACCAACTGCAGAGGAGCAGGTCGGCCCTGAGCCACGGGGAAGCCTCACACACACCTGTATCTAGGATCAGAGGCCAGAGCCTTTATTAAGCAGTCTGTGACCAAAATAATCTTCAGAACATACTATTCTGAGCCCACCCCACAGTGAAACCGAACATCACCACTGACACAAGACACACAGACACACCCATGTGGACGCACACGCATGCACACACGAGGGGGTACTGGCGGTGCCTCACCTGGTGCGTCTGGCACGCTCCCGGCAGCCCTGGGGCCACGGCATCCAGGCTGGCAACATGCCCAGTGCTCGTGTCAGCTCTTGGCCCGTCCTGCGCAGACTGAAGTTCCTTGTCATGTCTCAGCTTCAGTTTCTCCAACTCCTGAGACAAGATCGTTTGGTGAACAGCGTCCTTCCTCTGCAGCTGTTCCACGAAGTCGGCCTGTAAGTGCGCGACGGCCCGCCTGTGCTCATCCCGCACCGTCTGAATCTCGGCCAGGCAGCAGGACTGCATGGAGTCCAGGCTGGACCGATGTCTCGCTTCCAAAGCATGGATTTCAGCAGCATGTTTCGTCTGCAATTCAGCCACGCGAGCATCCAGCAGAGCCCGCCGTTCACTCTCTAAGGAGGCTGCCAGCTCGCAGAGCTCAGCCTGGTGTCTGGCCTCCAGCTCCCGTGACACGGCCTGGAGCTGCTGCTGGTGTCTCTCCTGGAGCAGCTCTAGCTCGTGGGCATGCTTCTCCTGGGCCTCCTGCAGGACGGCATCTTGCTCCGCATTGAATTTCTCTGTGATCTCTTTACGTTCTTCTAAAAACCTGAGGTGACATTCAAAGTGAACATGGAACAGCAAAACACAGCCACGAAGCACCCACTCCTGCACAGGCCAAGCCGCATCCCCCACAGGAAGCTCCACATCAACCGCTCTGGTCCTGCTGCGTTCAACTGTCCTCGCTCCCTCTCCTTCTGCCACAAGCAGTCTGAGACCTGCACCTCCAGCAACGGGGGAGAGTGGAGGGACCCCATGAAGCCACAGGACCTCAGGGGCCAGAGCCTTAGTCACCAGGTCACCAACTGGAGGGAAGACTCGGCGCCCACAGCAAGAAACCACGAGCACAGCCTGGCCACTCACTCACACGGGGCACCAGCCCAGGTCCCGACGGAGGGAACCCAGGCAACCTCTGCACCTCCACGGCAGGGCAGTCGAAGAACCCCTGACTGCAAACTAAAGAGAACCGCAGGAGGTGTGGGGGCAAGACAGGGCAGGCAGTGAGAATCCTAAGGACCAGAATCCCACCAGGAACCAGCAAGAGGCCGGTACTGGGAGAGTCCAGGTAAAGTGCTGAGTTCTCTGCTGGGCACGCGAGATGCGTTATTGCTGTGCTTTGTTAAGTTCACACAAATAACAAGAGGCACCATCCACCAAGCCTGTAAAAGTGTTTTCCACAGATCATCCACGTAGCCTTTATCACACGGTGAGAGCGCTGAGGTCTCGTGCCCACGTTTATGCAGCTCAGACGTGGTGGGTGTGGATCTGGACACGAGCTCTGCAGCCCCAGAGCAGAGCTCGTGTGTGTCACTGTGGTGCAGGGGAGAGGCGGGGTGGGGCAGACGAAAGACAGAACCAACAACAGGTCCAAAGACCCCACGACAAGGACGCCTCCAGCCACCACAGCCATGGACTTATGAACTAAAAATCTTAAGCCCCCAGCTGACTGAATGGACCCCCTCCTGGCCAAGGGGACCCCAGAAATACCTTAAAGCTGAGTCGCTGGCCATGAGAAGGGAGCTTAGAACTGCCTCGTCATGCCCCTCCCTTCATGGAGATGGCCTTTGTGACTCATCAACAGGCCTAACGCTAACTCTGATTAACTTAAAACATTCCAAGTCTTTAGACAAAGCTTCATTTCTTTAACCAACTACAAATCAAAGACTCTTTAAACCCACCTGTAACCTGCAATCCCCGCTTTACCATGTCGCACCTTTTTGGGCCAAACCAATGCACACCTTCCATGTACTGACTCAGGGTCTCACGTGCAGTTCCCGTCTCCGTGAATGTGTAAAACCAAACTGTCCCCTGGCTGCCGGGGGCACGGCTCTCAGGGCCTCGTGAGGCCGAGTGCTCTCGGAGGGGCCCACACACTCGGCTCACAGTAAACCTCTGTAAACTACTTTACAGAGTTTGGGTCTTTTTTTGTTAATAGAACGAGGCTCACGAAAGGAGGCAAACAACCGGACCGTGCTCTAAATCTACTTAAAACTTCAGGGAAGTATGTATATCTTATAAAAAAAAATGCTTATTTAAAAAATTACGTTTAAGGGCCGGGCATGGTGGCTCACGCCTGTAATCCTAGCACTCTGGGAGGCCGAGGCAGGTGGATCACTCAAGGTCAGGAGTTCAAGACCAGCCTGAGCAAGAGCGAGACCCCGTCTCTACTAAAAAAAAAAGAAAGAAATGATCTGGACGACTAAAAATAGATACATAAAAAATTAGCCGGGCATGGTGGCGCATGCCTGTAGTCCCAGCTACTAGGGAGGCTGAGGCAGAAGGATCGCTTGAGCCCAGGAGTTTGAGGTTGCTGTGAGCTAGGCTTACACCACGGCACTCTAGCCCGGGCAACAGAGCAAGACTCTGTCTCAAAAAAAAAAATAAAAAAAAAAAACAAAAATTATGTTTAAGTTTTAAAAAAACACAAAAACACTTACGTGGATAAACTGCATGTCTGTATAATACCTCATAAATGAGGTTCAAGGTTCTGCTACTGGAATTTTAAAGAACGTCCATGAGGTAGCAGATGGGGCACGCTCACACCCAGGGAGGTGGTTCCGCGGGGTTTGGGTGGGGTTACCGCCAGCACGTCTCTGCTACAAACACAGAGCCGTCCTGTGGTGATTTCAGGGTGCAAACTCAGCACCTCACACCCCGCTCTGCCACCTGCCAGGCTTCTCCGCCCACCTGGAACCCACAGTGTGTCCCCCAGGCCTGCTCTGGGCCCTTGGCCGGAACCTGAGGTCGGGTCTGACGGGACCAGCAGACGGCTGTGCACCCAGCCTGCGGCCACCACGCCACTCACCTGTTCCGGGCCAGCATCAGCTGCAGGGTGCAGTCCTCCTGCACCCGGAGGGCACGCTCCCCGTCCCCCAAGGGTGGCTCCCGCCCACACCGGTTGCACAGCGGAGCCTCTTCGGCGGCCAGCCCCTGCTCCAGCTGCTGCAGGCGGCCCTGTTGCTCGGTCAGGGACCGCTCCAGGTCCAGGATCTGTGCGGCCTGCTGGTCCTGAAGCTGCCTCATTTCTTTTTCCCGAAGCTGAAACTTGTTTACTACTGACTGCTTCTCAGACTCAGCCTTTCCCCTCAGTTCAAGAAGCATCAGCGTCAACTTCTCTTCAGCTTCTCTCTTTAGATCCTCACTTAGAACTTTCCACTCGGCTTCTTTTTTTTTCAATTCCTGTTTCATTAGCTGATTCTTCTCCTTAGTTTTATTTAGTTCTTCCTGGTGGACTTCCACTAAATTATGCTTTACCTACAGATATCATAATTTTATTCAAGGGGAAAGAAATTAAAGGAAAAGATTATTGAAAGCAATGATCCAAATCCATCTCTGAAGACAAAGAAACATCCCAACGTACAGACATTATGCTGAACGCTGCAATGGGAATGTTTCTTATGTTGTCGAGAATGGAAGAAACCTAAAATAAACAAATTTCAAACTAAATAAAATAAAACTCAATAAACCCTACATAAAATGCTTTCCAAATCTTGGCAGCTAGAAGTGACTGTTCTTTGTCTCGGGCACTGGTGGGCCTTGGCGCAAACCAACGTGTGAGAACACGCGCACGCTGGCAGGGCAGAGACAGGCCAAAGGCCTTCTTTTTCGGGACTGACACCAGAGTGGAGAAAATTCAGCCGCACCCAGGTCTCTGCCCCAGGAACGCCAGATGCTGCGGAAAGAGCAGGACGATCAGCAGCAAGGCCGACGCCCAAGAAACGAGGACAACAAACGGTGGACGAGCTCAACTCTCCTGAGACTTGCACAGTCCACATTCCAGGATACAGGAAGAACTTGAGCAAGAGGCTGATAAACTAAGACTAGTAACGGTAAAGGTATCCTGTGGAAAAGGAGATGAAAGAGAAAGCAAAAGACAGGCGAGCATCCTGATTTTCAAGGAGAAAGTAGGTCAAGAAATTTCTCAACATTATCAGTACCAAACAAAACAAAGGTATAGGGCGGATTGTTTGAGCTCAGGAGTTCGAAACCAACCTGAGCAAGAGCGAGACCCCGTCTCTACGAAAAATAGAAAGAAATTAATTGGACAACTAAAAATATATAGAAA